ACTACTGCAGAATGTTCCCCTCTCTTCATCCCCCTCACCTTCATCATCAGTACGATGGTGTTCAGAGCGATCATGGCCAGCACGGTGTACTCGAAGGAGGGCGACACCACGAAGTGCCAGAGGCGGTACTGGAAGGTGTGTCGGTTCTGAGGCATGTAGCGGGTCAGAGGCTTCGCACCGAGGGCAAAGTCTATACACGCCCTCTGAAAACACAGGAAGAAGGGGTTAACGCCGGGGGGGCCACATACAGAAAATATACAAAGGGCTGGGCCGCTCACAGGAGGTATACCGCCTCATCAGTTCAGTTAGGAGTTAGCAAAAATCAATCAAATACATGATGCTTGTGAGTGTTGGCAGCTCATCCCTTAAAACACACACACACACACGACAAAATCTCATTTCCTGTCATATCATATGTGTTTATCCTATCCTCTGTTGTTGTGTTGATGTTGCCTTGATAGAAGCGTTTGCATCACTGTCTTCTCTGTGTCACTGTGTAATGTAAACAATATTCAATTGAGCCTGCACTGTTTATGATTTGTTATCTTTGTCATGATTTATCATTTGTATTGTGCAAAAGTTTATTTTAGGCTTTACAGAAAAGACTGGTCATGTGTACTTTGCATACAGTATAAAGCATCACTGTGTTCCTGTAACCTCCAAATACACTTTGGTCCAATTCCAAACCACACCCTACACCCTACCCCTCCGTTTGCGCGTTCGCGCGGAAGGTCCGCCATATTAAGTGCTGTTCCAAACCAACGAGTGTGGAGCGGTGTGGAGGGGGAGTGGGCTATCAAGCCCTCAGAACAGCGAGTCTGCAGCGGGTGCTGACTTGAGACCGGTCTCTACCTGACCGGAGTCACGCTGTGTGTGTCCCTCAGGAAACAAGCTGTTTACAAGTAGTTTCCAGCAAACATCCACTGATAAAGTGGGTTTTCTCTGGAAGTTTTTCCTTGTACGATGTGAGGGTCTAAGGACAGAGGGTCTAAGGACAGAGGGTCTAAGGACAGAGGGTTCTAAGGACAGAGAGTCTAAGGTTCTAAGGACAGAGGGTTCCTAAGGAAAGAGGGTCTAAGGACAGAGGGTCTAAGGACAGAGGGTCTAAGGGACCGAGGGTCGAGGACAGAGAGTCTAGACAGAGGGTCTAGGACAGAGGGTCTAAGGACAGAGGGTGTCGTATTGTCATACTGATATTCTGTACAAACTGTGAAGTCCACTGAGACAAATGTAACATTTGTGATATTGGGCTATAAATAAACATTGATTGATTGATTGATTGATTGATTGATTGATTGATTGATTGATAAATTGCGATGTTAACAACCTCACGATAACAGCATTAATGATTACTTAGGACAGGGTTTCCCACACATAGACTTTACTTCGGCGGGCTGCCCAGGTATATTAACGGCCACCAAAGTATATTTCGCGACCCATTTTCGTTTTTATTTTATTATGTATCCGTCCGTAGTGGACAATGATCCCTCGCTCTAACGCCTGGACCTGTTCGCTCTGCCATCGCGTGAAGGGTCTGCTAACAAGCGACCGACAGAAAGGTTCATATTGTTGCACGTCACCTCACAAACCCCCCCCCCCCCCCCCTTGTCGTGTATATGTACAGACTGTTGTAAGAAGCTTATAAACATCAGGTTTAAAACACAATTAAAGATGTTTGGAGTTTTATTTGAGTTATTAATTTAAATGTTTTGTCAAAGAGAAGCTGATCTGAGCAGCATGTCCTGTTTCTGCCGGAGAGAGGGGAGTTTGTCCCAAAGCTTGCTGCTACTTCCCTCCATCTGACAGGGGGGAGCCTCGTTGAGCTGCGAGTGTCACTCCTTCACGGAGTGGGAGTGGGTAGGGTGTGGTTTGGAATCGGGCCAAAGTCATTACAGAGCTTAAGTTGTCCTAGCGTTTAAGCAAAGGAAGTACGTCTTGTTTAAACGTTTATCAGATCATTTTGGGATGTCCACATTTGTAACGAGAGTAAATTAAAGTACTTCCTTGGAGGTTTCCAAAAGTGTAAAATAGAATACAGAAGAGGAAGCAAAAGAGAGACAGAAAAGTGTGAACAATTAAATTAAAAAAGCTGCAAAAATAGGCTTACGGGTCATTAAAAACAGAGAGGGTTTTGTTTATCGTCCCTCACCTCGTTCTTCTCCAGGCTGCACTCCTCCATCATCTTATCCCCCTGCTCCTGGAAAGTGATGATGATGAGTGCCACGAAGATGTTGACGAAGAAGAAAGGGAAGACGACAAAGTAGATGACGTAGAAAATGGACATCTCCATCCTGTTGCCGTGGCTCGGACCTCTGTCCTCCTCCGTCACGTCCACTGAGTGCTGGAGGACCCTGGAGGGAGAGGAGACACCATGCTAACTGATGCTAACTGATGCTAATGGGTGCTAACCAGAGATGGCAAAAGAACCCACATCCTGTACTCAAGTAGAAGTACACACATCCTTTACTCAAGTAGAAGTGCACACATCCTTTACTCAAGTAGAAGTACACACATCCTTTACTCAAGTAGAAGTACACACATCCTTTACTCAAGTAGAAGTACACACATCCTTTACTCAAGTAGAAGTACAGATACTCGTGTTTAAAAAATACTCTGGTGAAAGTAGAAGTACTGACTAAACTTCTTTACTCAAGTAAAAGTAAAGAACTTTGAAATGTACTTCAGTAAAAAGTACCCATAACTAGCAGCTGCTTTAAAGAGTACCTGACCTCCCTTTATATTAATAGAACAATAATGTCATTGTTAGCTAATGAATGTTTCCATTGTGGTGACACGTTATTGGACATAATTCACCTTGCTTATTGTGTTGCCACACGGACCCTTTAGTGGGGAACACCTGTAGCTTTAGCTGCCATTCCTGCTAGCTCATCAGGCAGAGCAGTGCATGTGTTAACCTCTCTGAAAGTAATGGATAATAAAGATTGGAACTCCATTCTTAATACACCGCCTCCGACTCTCTTTTCACGGCACTACACTGGTGACCCTGACTTTCCCGAGAAAGTTTCCGGAAAATTAACGAACATGGCTGAGCGCGATGTTTTCATAAAGCTGCCGGAATTCTGGGAGCACGCCGCGGAGGCATGGTTCGCACACGTGGAGGCACATTTCGCCTGCCGACAGGTCCATGACGGGGACCTAAAATACTACCATGTGGTAGCAGCGCTGGGGAGCTCCACGTCGTCCAGGTTGGTGGGATTCATCGCAGCCCCCCCACATCATGGCAAATATGAGGCGATTAAGGCCCTTCTCCTTAAGACATTTAGCTTATCTGCTAAGGAGAGGGCCCGACAGATACTTGACATTCAAGGCCTAGGAGACAGCAAGCCATCCCATGCAGCTAATGGAGAAAATGCTAAATCTGCTAGGGGGGGAAGATCCCCGGATTTTATTCACGGAGATTTTCCTGCGTCACTTGCCTCCCCGGGTACAGACGGCGCTGGCCAACACGCCTGTCACGGAGCCCCGTGCTTTGGCTGAGGAAGCGGATCGTTTTTTCCTGGCTACGCAACAGCCCGGGGCAGAGACGTTAGCCGCGACGCTCAGCGGCCCACCGGCAGTCAAGAAAGCGTGGCGGAGGCCGGACACGGCTGTGGCTAGCCGGCGTGGAGACGCCGGAGAGTGCGTTTACCACGCACGTTTCGGGACAAGGGCGAAGAGATGCATCGCTCCGTGCAGCTACAAACCCCCGGGAAACGGAGGGGCCGGCGCTCAGTAGTGGCTCTGAGCGTCGGCGGCACGTGCAGGCTCCTCTTCGTCAGCGACAGCGTTTCGGGGAGCTTGTTTCTGTGTGACACGGGCGCTCAACGGAGCGTAGTTCCAGCGTCGAGTGAAGACGTCGCCCGTGGGGGGCACGGACCGCGATTGACGACGGCTAACGGCAGTCCCATTCGCACGTACGGCGTGAGGCCTATGTGTTTGTGCATCGGAGGACAGCGTTTCAGCTGGGATTTTGTGACAGCGGACATTTCTTTTCCCCTCCTCGGAGCGGATTTTTTGTGTGCTCATGGACTCTTAGTGGACGTTAAGAATAGTCGTTTGGTTGATGCCTTAACGTTTTCTTCCCTCGTGTGCACACTTGGCAGCGCAGCGTACGACGGGCTGTCAGGCTCGCTGTCAGGTGCAGACACGTTTCTCAGACTGTTGGCCGAGTTTCCAGACATGTCGCTACCCACCTTCTCTGCGCTTACCACTAAGCATGGCGTGGAACACCACGTCACTACCGGGGGGCCTCCTGTCTACGCCAGGGCCCGGCGGTTGAACCCTTCTAAGCTGGCTGTAGCGAGGGCGGAGTTCGCAACCATGGAGCGCCTGGGCATTGTCCGCCGCTCCGACAGTCCTTGGGCTTCCCCCCTGCACGTCGTTCCCAAATCGAACGGCGGGTTCCGCCCGTGCGGGGATTGCCGCCGACTCAACGACGCCACTACGCCTGACCGCTATCCGGTACCGCACATTCAGGACTTTTCGGCGCATCTGGCCGGTACGGGGGTGTTTTCCAAGGTGGACCTGGTGCGTGGATACCACCAGGTGCCCATGCACCCCCTGGACATTCCCAAGACAGCAGTGATAACGCCTTTTGGACTTTTTGAGTTCCTGCGGATGCCTTTTGGACTCAAGAATGCCGCTCAGACGTTCCAGCGCCTGATGGATTCGGTGCTGCGGGACCTGCCGTTTGTGTTTGTTTACCTCGACGACATACTCGTCGCCAGCGCTTCAGTGCAGGAGCACCTGTCCCACCTCCGAGCCCTTTTCACACGGCTCAACGAACACGGATTAATCATCAATCCTGCAAAGTGCCAGTTCGGGGTGTCGGACATCGATTTCCTGGGGCACCGCGTCACCAAGGGCGGTGCGACACCTCTGCCAGCGAAGGTGGAGGCTGTTGCGGCGTTTCCTCGCCCGCTCACAGCCCGGTCGCTCCGTGAGTTTCTGGGGATGGTGACTTTCTACCACCGTTTCATCGCCCGGGCCGCACACATCATGCGGCCGCTGTATGAAGCGTTGAAAGGCAAGACCCCCGTCCAGGAGATCGACTGGACAGCAGAGGCGGACGGCGCTTTTGCTGAGGTCAAGACCGCGTTGGCTCAGGCGGCTTTGCTGGCACACCCATCATCTACGGCTCCCATCTCCATCACCACGGACGCGTCAGACTACGCGGTCGGCGCAGTGCACGAGCAGTGGGTGGAGGGCGCTTGGCAGCCGCTCGCCTTTTTCAGCCGCCAGCTGACGCCTAGAGAACGCAAATACAGCGCCTTTGACCGGGAGCTCCTCGGACTTTATTTGGCCGTGCGGCACTTCCGTTTCATGCTGGAAGGCCGTGAATTTACGGCGTTTGGCGACCACAAGCCGCTCACCTTCGCCATGTCAAAAGTGGCGGAGCCTTGGTCGGCACGTCAGCAGCGGCAGCTGTCCTACATATCGGAGTTCACTACGGACATTAAGCACGTGGCTGGCAAGTCGAACCTGGTTGCTGATTGCCTCTCCAGGGTCGTCATCGGTGCCGTCCAGTTGGGCCTGGACTATACTCGCATGGCGGCAGACCAGGTCACAGATCCCGGCGTCCAGGCCCTGAAGGTGGAGAGCGCGGGGCTGCGCTTGGAGGACGTGGTGTTCGGCGACGCGGGCATTACTCTCCTGTGTGACGTCTCTACGGGCCTGGCGCGGCCTGTCGTCCCTGCCAGCTGGAGGCGTCCCGTGTTCGAGGCTGTGCACGGCCTGTCACACCCCGGCGTTAAACCTTCGGTGCGTTTGGTAGCGGCGAAGTTCGTTTGGCAAGGACTGAAAAGGGACGTGAGGACTTGGGCCAGGGAGTGCGTGGCTTGTCAACGCGCTAAGGTGCACCGCCACACGAAGGCCCCGTTGGAGCGTTTCCTGGTGCCTGAGAGGAGGTTTGATCACGTCAACATTGACCTGGTTGGTCCGTTGCCTTCCTCTCAGGGGTTTTCCTACCTCCTCACCATGGTGGACAGAATGACCCGTTGGCCGGAGGCGGTTCGCTCGTTTCGGCATCAGCCGCAGACGTTGCCCGGGCCTTGATTGCAACGTGGGTGTGGCGTTTTGGCACCCCTTCAGACATTTCCTCAGACAGGGGCTCTCAGTTCACGTCCGAGCTCTGGAACGCTGTGGCAGGCGGTTTGGGGGTTAAGCTGCACAGGACTACCGCTTACCACCCTCAGGCTAACGGCCTCTGCGAGCGCTTTCATCGCTCCATGAAGGCGGCCCTCAAGGCCGGCCTTACGGACGGTAACTGGGTCGACAAGCTGCCCTGGGTGATGCTGGGCCTGAGGACCGCACCTAAGGAAGATCTGCAGTGTTCTACAGCGGAGATGGTCTACGGTCAGCCGCTGAGAGTTCCGGGGGATTTCCTCCCAAATGCATCGGCTCCCTGGTCGGCGTCGGCCCAGCGGGCTTTCCTGCGTGACGCCGCTGAGGCCTTTGCTCCGATCCCTACTACTCAGCACGGTACTCAAGTGTCCCAGGTTCCCGCAGAGCTCCGCTCGGCGGAGCACGTGTTCATCCGGCACGATGCGCACAGAGGCCCCCTGCAGCCCCCTTATGATGGGCCTTTCCGGGTCTTGGAGCACGGGGACAAGCACCTGGTGGTCGACCTGGGTGGCAAGGCCGAGCACGTCTCGGTGGACCGGGTGAAGGCTGCTCACCTGGACTTGGACCAGCCTGTGGTGCTGGCTCGACCTCCGCGACGGGGCCGCCCCCCGGCCTCGTCCCCTGTCACGGATTTAAGACCTGTTGTTCCGGTCCCTCCCCTTCCGGGGGCCGCACAGGCGGGAGTCACTTTTCCGACTCCCGTGCTCAGGAGTCGTGGGGGTCGGCGTGTCGTTCCTCCCCGCCATGCTGATTTTGTTTATGTGTGAATTCTGGGGGGGCTTGTGTGGTGACACGTTATTGGACATAATTCACCTTGCTTATTGTGTTGCCACACGGACCCTTTAGTGGGGAACACCTGTAGCTTTAGCTGCCATTCCTGCTAGCTCATCAGGCAGAGCAGTGCATGTGTTAACCTCTCTGAAAGTAATGGATAATAAAGATTGGAACTCCATTCTTAATACACCGCCTCCGACTCTCTTTTCACGGCACTACACCATGCTGAACAACGGCAACATGACAACGTTTCCATTGGTCCCTCTTCTTTAGAGAGGACCAGGAAATGATGGATACACGGATCGTGTTCAAATCAATAGGCACGCAATGACTCTAAAGAATAATGATCACGCACCAAACACACATTCAGACTAAAGGAACCAGCTGTTTGGAAAATGAGAGAAGTAGAAAGTACAAGTATTTGAGTTCAACATGTAAGAAGTAGAAAGTACAAGTATTTGAGTTCAACATGTAAGAAGTAGAAAGTACAGGTATTTGAGTTCAACATGAGAGAAGTAGAAAGTACAGGTATTTGAGTTCAACATGTAAGAAGTAGAAAGTACAGGTATTTGTGTTCAACATGTAAGAAGTAGAAAGTACAGGTATTTGAGTTCAACATGTAAGAAGTAGAAAGTACAGGTATTTGAGATCAACATGTAAGAAGTAGAAAGTACAGGTATTTGGGTTCAACATGTAAGAAGTAGAAAGTACAGGTATTTGTGTTCAACATGTAAGAAGTAGAAAGTACAGGTATTTGTGTTCAACATGTAAGAAGTAGAAAGTACAGGTATTTGAGTTCAACATGTAAGAAGTAGAAAGTACAGGTATTTGTGTTCAACATGTAAGAAGTAGAAAGTACAGGTATTTGTGTTCAAAATGTAAGAAGTAGAAAGTACAGGTATTTGTGTTCAACATGTAAGAAGTCAAAGTAAAAAGTCGTCAGAAAAATAAGTAGTGGAGTAAAGTACTGATACCAGAAGAATGTACTTAAGTACAGTAACGAAGTATTTGTACTCCACTACTTCCCACCTACTGATGCTAACGGATGCTAACGGTTGCTAATGCTGATAAGAGCTCTAGAAACTGATAAGAAAAGCTTTAACAGCTCGAGAAGAGGACTCATTTTACTGTAACACACACACAAAGTAATGCCGATTCAATTCATGAACAAGTGTAGACTTTCACACACTGAACCGTTGACTTTAATTAAATGTATTATGTCAACAAATTGTTGTTATTTTTCTTCTTTACTTGCTTATTGAGCACCAGGAGAAGCGCTTTATATATGACATGTATTATTATTATTATTATTATCAGTAGTAGTAAATTGAACATAACTTAAAGTCAACTTTTCAGCTTTTCAGTGTGTACTTTTGCAGCGATAAATAGTTTGTTTACTGGGGTGGAGATCAAAAGTCAATTAGCTATTTAATTCCCACAGAAGCTGTCAATTAACGAGGGATGGGGCGATAGAAACCCAGAAGCACTGTCAGAGAAATACTGGATTAATCCTATTTTGGAATAACGACGGGGCAAAACCTTGAGTTAAATTGATCATATCCGTAATATTTTTGAGCATTACGTAAGATCACGCCCAAAGTTAATAATGTTATAATGCACATTAAAGCTAATGAGAGATTTGAGAATGGGAAATGATGTGCGGGGAAACTTCTGTTGAAGGGTCAGGAGGAGGATTATATGTCAGGATTATTTGGAGGTCATAATCGTCAAAACACAACAACACTTTGCAAAACATACCTAAAGTTAAAAAACATTTTTTTATATATATATATAAAATGAGAATTTTGAAAATAATCTGAAATGTGAAAAAAATAGTCAGAATTTTAAAAAGCAAATCAACTATTTGAAAAAAATCTTTCTTTGAAAATAAATCAGAAAGAAGTGAAATTAAAAAAAGTCAGATTTAGTTTTTTAAAATCTTCATTTTTTCTTCAAAAAAAATTAGGATTTTGAGAAAAAGGCAGACATTTGAGAAGCAGTGACAATTTTTTTTAAAAGTGATTTTCTTTTGTCAGAATTTTGAGAAAAATAAAACAGGTTTTAAAACCAGCAAAACAACTAAATAACACACAAAAAAACATTGAAAAAATACCCAATTGTTTTTGTGTGTTCGGCGAAATTTCATGTCATGCTCTTAAGTATTTTAGTCAATCTTGTTGTGTTTTGTTAACTAATCGTTGTGTTTTGACCTTCAGGGCCACCGTACACTAACACGCAGTCTGCTGTCAGGGACTCACTGCGGCCAGCCTTCCCCCGTGGACACAGTGAAGAGAGTCAGGAGAGCCCAGATCACATTATCATAATGGAACTCATGACGTCTCCACTCCCTCCTCTTCACCTCCTTCTTATCCTTCGCATAGTCTATGTAGTAACCCCTAAAGGAGGAAGAGGAGGAGGAGGAGGAGGAGGAGGAGGAGGAGGAGGAGGAGGAGGAGGAGGAGGAGGAGGAGGAGGAGGAAGAGAAAAAAGTGTCAAAAGATTAGAACATTCTGAATTGTAAGGAGCCATAAAATAATGGAAACAAATAAAAAAGGGAAGGCAAATGAAGTAAATAAAATAAATAAATGATAAAATAAATGAATCAGTTCGCTGAATACAATTATAATAAATGAATGAATAAGATGAATAAACATCTGAGTGCAGGATGGAGTGAGGAAGAGGAGGTGATAATAAGTGAGGAGTTACTGGCAGTCCTTCTCCGTGTCCTTGGAGCTGTCGCTGCAGAAGAAGAACTTCCCCTTGAAAAGCTGCACGGCGATGACAGCGAAGATAAACATAAACAGTTTGTAAACGATGAGGATGTTGAAGACGTTCTTCAGAGATGTCACGACGCAGTCGAACACCGCCTGCAGGAGGAGGAGGAGGAAATCAAACACGTGGTGAGGGAGAGAGGTCTGCATTCATGAAGCATGTTCAGTCTGTACACTGAAACCCATGAGCACAGACTACAGCTTAAAGAACAGGAATAGAACCAAGCTGCATTATCACCAGACCACCTGTGTTACGTTCCCTTATAGTCTCTAGGGTGAAAGGATCTCAGGAAACCCTGATCTGGCTTTTCAGACTCCAAGCTCACATTAAAGGTGTGGATTTTGTTTTAAGTAATGATGTAGAAAGGTTGAGCCAGTGTCCGAGGTATTAGACCTCCTTATGTGAGCTTAGAGTCTGAAAAGCCAGATCAGGGTTTCCTGAGATCCTTTCTCCTAGTTATTTTATATTGTGTTGGTTCCCTTGACTATAAGGGAACCGTGACACCCTGACACCCAGACACCCTGACATCCAGACACCCTGACACCCTGAGACCCAGACACCCTGAGACCCAGACACCCTGACACCCTGACACCCAGCCTCCCTGACACCCAGACACCCTGACACCCTGACACCCTGACACCAAGACACCCTGACACCAAGACACCCTGACACCCTGACACCAAGACACCCTGACACCCTGACACCCTGACACCAAGACACCCTGACACCCAGACACCCTGACACCAAGACACCCTGACACCCTGACACCCAGACACCCTGCCCCCCTGCCACCCTGCCACCCTGACACCCTGACACCCAGACACCCTGCCACCCTGACACCCAGACACCCTGCCTCCCTGACACCCTGACACCCAGACACCCTGACACCCAGACACCCTGACACCCTGACACCCTGCCTCCCTGACACCCTGACACCAAGACACCCTGACACCCTGACACCCAGACACCCTGACACCCCTGACATCCAGACACCCTGCCACCCTGCCACCCTGACACCCAGACACCCTGCCACCCTGACACCCTGACACCCAGACACCCTGCCTCCCTGACACCCTGACACCCAGACACCCTGACACCCAGACACCCTGACACCCAGACACCCTGCCTCCCTGACACCCTGACACCCTGCCTCCCTGACACCCTGACACCCAGACACCCTGACACCCAGACACCCAGATACCCTGACACCCAGACACCCTGCCTCCCTGACACCCTGACACCCAGACACCCAGACACCCTGACACCCTGAGACTCAGACACCCTGAGACCCAGACACCCTGACACCCAGACACCCAGACACCCTGACACCCTGCCACCCTGCCACCCTGACACCCAGACACCCAGACACCCAGACACCCATACACCCAGACACCCTGACACCCTGACACCCATACACCCAGACACCCATACACCCATACACCCAGACACCCTGACACCCAGACACCCTGCCCCCCTGCCACCCTGCCACCCTGACACCCAGACACCCTGCCACCCTGACACCCAGACACCCTGCCTCCCTGACACCCTGACACCCAGACACCCTGACACCCAGACACCCAGACACCCTGCCTCCCTGACACCCTGACACCCTGCCTCCCTGACACCCTGACACCCAGACACCCAGATACCCTGACACCCAGACACCCTGCCTTCCTGACACCCTGCCTCCCTGACACCCAGACACCCAGACACCCTGACACCCAGACACCCTGATACCCTGACACCCAGACACCCAGACACCCTGACACCCAGACACCCTGACACCCATACACCCAGACACCCAGACACCCTGCCACCCAGACAACCTGACAACCTGACACCCAGACACCCATACACCCATACACCCAGACACCCTGACACCCTGACACCCATACACCCAGACACCCATACACCCATACACCCTGCCACCCAGACACCCTGACACCCAGACACCCAGACACCCATACACCCATACACCCTGCCACCCTGACACCCTGACACCCAGACACCCTGCCTCCCTCCCTTGTATTGGTTGTTGTGTGTTACTGTCTCTAGACCCTATAAGGGAGGTAACATCTGGATTATCAGTTATGGTATATAACTATCTACAGCACATGTGTCAAACTCAAGGCCCGGGGGCCAAATCAGGCCCTTGGTGGATTTCATTTCGGCCCACAGGATAATTTCTAATTCCTATTAGATCTGGCCCTCCGGTATATTGCACGCACACCTTCACTCCATCCTGAGGGTCTCCTCAGCTCAGAGCCTGAGCCCAAACATTGATGACCTTGCACCCAAGATGAGATGCCAAGTATCTGAACTAGCATCACAGAGCAGCAACCTGAGTTTAATGGATGTTTCCTGTTGCACTTTTTTTCTTTCGACAACAGGGCATGTTTGGCACATAGGCAATAATTTAAGCTTTGTTAGTTCCAGGTTTAATATGTGCAATAACTTAATTTCAATCCGTTTTGCAATAAACATTGAACTAGTCCGGCCCTCGACTAGTACCCATGTTTTAAGTTTAAAAAAGCAGGAATGAAATCTGAGCTGACAGAAGAAACTCAGAATTTTGAAAATAAATTAAAAAATATATATATATATCAGATTTAAAAAAAATGAATTTCGAAAATAAAATAATGTTAAGAAAAAAGTGAGAATAAAAAAAAAGTGAGAATAAAAAAAAGTGAGAATTAAAAAAAGTGAGAATTAAAAAAAAGTGAGAATTAAAAAAAAGTGATAATTAAAAAAAAAATCTGAATTTTGAAAACATTTTGTGCGAATATTAAGAAAAATATTTAGATTTTTGTAGAAACAAAATAATTTATTGAAAAAAAGTCCGAATTTTGCGAAAGTAGTGAGTTTTTTAGAAAAAAAATAAGGATTTTTAATAAAAGTCAGAATTGTTTGAACAATTACAGAATTTTTAGATAAAAGTCAGATTTAATTTTTTTTAAATGAGAATGTTTTTAGAAAAAAGTTAATCCCCAATATTTAGAAGCATTTGACAGAAATCAGATTGTTTTATGAAACTGTCAGGGAATACAGTTACTGTTGTTTGGTATCCTCATTATGTAATTACTTTCCAACATCAACACTGCGCTTTCTTGGCAGCACGAGCTTCTGACTATAGACTTCCGTTGCTAACACGTAGCTTCTGTGCGAATGACATAAAGACGGACTCTGACCTTGAGTTTGGGAAGTCTCTTGATTGTCTTCAGCGGTCGGAGGACTCGCAGAACTCTCAGAGATTTGATGGTCTTTATGTCCCGTCCTTTGTTATTTCTGCGCAGAAAGACGACAATATCATAATGTTAGACACTCGTAACTTGTTTTTCTATCTTATTCATCGCAGCATGTTCTACTTATGTTACACACATTTAAAGTATTTGTTCAAAGAGAGGAAGAGTTTTGTTTTGTTTTACCCCATCACATTGCTGGTGGTCACAGAGGCATCACGATAACATGTAGAAAAACAAGAGAATGTTTTTAGAAGAAAGTCGACATTTTGAAAAAGAAAATCATTATATTGAGGTCAAAGACGTCAAATCACACCAACAGTTTAAAGACATTTTGAAAAACCAAACATTACAAAAAACACAAAATATATTTAACCAAAAAAACTAAAAATGTGTGTGTATTTAAATGTATCCAAAATATACACAAAAAACTGAAATACTAATATAAAAAAACTAGGGCCGGGACTTTAACGCGTTAATTAAGATTAATTAATTACACAAAAATTAACGCGTTAAAAAAATTAACGCATTTTAATCGCACTTATTTTTGCACCGCGGAACGTTTCTCACTGGATGAGTTTCAGGCGTACCGATTATACTGGAGCACCAACTAACGTTCATGACTTCAGACAACAACAAACCACAGTGAACAACAGTGGGAAATGTTGTTTTAAAAAACGGACGGATGGAAGCGTCGATAAGAGCACGGTTGTGTGCAAATTATGCAAAACGGAATTCGCATATCACCGCAGCACATCAAGCCTCAAGTATCACCTCAATGCAAAACATATAGCAGCTAGCGTGGAAGCTAGCGTGGACGTTAGCCTCTTTTATCGCTTTCACACCAAAAAGAGCCGGTACTAAAATTAGTTCATGAGAACCTTTTTACCCCCACGAAAGTCCCTGCTAGAGAGCAGAGAGCTGCTAGAGAGCAGGGACTTTCGTACGGCTCTCTTGTGAGAAAAGAGCTATATTTCTGATTGGCTGGGCGGATTGCAAACCACGCCCCGTAAAACTCCCAAAAAGTTTTGTGAAGCCGCCATTTTATTATCCTCGCATTAGCATTATTAGCATTAGCCCAGCGCAGAAACGCAGAGAGACTAACTTATGGCAACACAAAATAAAACATGGGAGCGGTGGAGATGAGGAGGTGTCGGCGTTCTGGCGATTTACTCGGAAGGCTTCAGTAGAAGCTGCTGGGAGTCCCAGCAGCTTCTACTGAAGCCAGTCCCCAACTCCGGGGACTTCCGGCCGGGGACTTTGGGCGGCAGTATACGCCGTGAAGTGATTTGCGGCCTGCCAGTAAACCCAAAGCAGAAGAAGAAGAAGTGACGTCAGCGGCTTCATTTGCCTAATCCTCCCCCAGGTTCAAAGAGTTCTCATGAACTAAGTTCTCATGAACCTTTGTGGGAAAAGTACTGCGGTGTGAATGCGCCTAATGGTATACTAAAATCCATGTGAAAAAAAATTGCTTCTCACTGTTCTTAGGTCAAATATTTATATGCGATTAAAAATGCGATTAATTTCGATTAATTAATTACAAAGCCTCTAATTAATTAGATTAATTTTTTTTTAAAAAACACATTTTAAAATGTTCAAAACCGCAAAATAACTAAATAACACAAAAAGATCAATTAAAAAAATACCCAAATGTTTTTGAGTAAACATGATTACTGTTTCAGGTTTTATTTTTTGTGCCTGGCAAAATATCACGTGTTTTAAAGTATTTTAGTCAACTTTCTTGTGTTTTTTAATGAAATTGTCGTTGTGTTTTGACCTTCATATAGGGTGTTTCTCAATGTCGAGGAAGGCTGCTCCAGTGCCACTATTTCAAGGATGCTACGTCATCGAGTGCCGCCGAAGGACTGTTCCAATGTCCAGGATGCTTGGAATTCTACCGAGGCCGGCGTACTTCGTTGCGGGAAATTTCACGGCTGCACATGTGTATCCTCCGCGGTCTTAAAATCCCCACAATGCTTTGCGCACGGACCAAATATTTGGCAGAAATCGCGCTCCATGTAAGGCGGGGCCTCTCATATGAAGCACACCTGCACACCTGTTAGCCTGTTCCATCATTCTTCGTTTTCCGAGGCTAGGAAGGATTCTTGCCTCGCTTCTGAAGGACCTGACTGATGTCCTACCAAGCAAGCATCCTCGACATTGAGAAACACCCATAGAGTAAGAAGCAAGATGGACGAGATGTCTGCATGAAGTCAAACAACATTTCCAGTGGATTTAAGCATGCAGGGAAACAGCAGAATGATTTAAAGACACCCTGATGTTCAGATGCATTATGGATTAGTATTCATATTAAAAGCGGTGACTGACGAGAGGGCGAAGGCCACCAGCGCTCCCACCACCACGATGAAGTCCAGAACGTTCCACAAGTCTCTGAAGTACGAGCCGTCGTGGAGGAGAAGACCCTGGTCGATCATCTGAGGAAAACACAGGATTAGGAATGAAGAAAAGTCTTCCTGCAGCGTGCAAGGGAATCATACAGATCCAAGATGTCGGGGAATATTTTGCTGAGGTATCTAACCGTTAACCCAGTCCATCGCTTCTTATCGGTGCATAGGTCCCACAGGCGTACATTCTTGGGCCATGGACGACAGTTTAACTTACATTTAGTGCCCTGTTTGTTTAGTCTTGTTAATGAAGAAGGTTGATCATACTCTCTGAACTAGTTCAAACCTCCGACTACGGAAGAGATCTTCAGAATTAGTCGAGCAACCGCTGTGTCACCTCATGTCTGCAGCCAACCCTGTCTCCTAAAAATTACGTTCCCACAGAACTAAACTGCATTCTCAATTACGTTTAGCTAGAAACGTATTTACTCCCACGTTACGTTTGTTATGAACGTATCTCAAATACGTTTATTTTCTACATATCTTCTAGAAACGTATTTTCTCCCACGTTACGTTCGTTATGAACGTATCTTAAATACGTTTATTTTCTACATATCTTCTAGAAACGTATTTTCTCCCACGTTACGTTCGTTATGAACGTATCTTAAATACGTTTATTTTCTACATATCTTTGCCATTTATTGCCTTGCTTATAATAATGATAATAGTCATTTATAAATATCATTTTAGAGCACACCTTTGAAATCGAGAATCGGGCTCGATATATGGTTAAATTAAAATCAGTAGGCGAGGCTGTAATTTCGGCAGCTGTTACTCTCATGAGCGAGGCAGAAAATAATAGTTTTAACATGACAAAAAGCTGCTGTGTCGTTTATTGCACCTCAAACATTAAAACAAATCCAGAGTAACGTGTTTCTGTACTTCCTCTAAGAAGAAAAGACAGTAAAAGAAGAGCTCTGTGGCTTCAGGCTCGATCGCTGTTCAAATGACAGCGTTGGTTTCCCCAAAAGTGGGCGGGGCTGTAAAGTGAAGTTTTACTATCATCTATTATTCAAAACCATTCTATTTATTCTAACGTAAATTACATGCCAGTGTTTTATCTTTTTATTTATTTGTTTTTATTTTAAATCGTATAATGTCGGACTTTTTTCCCGTCTGTGAGGAAAATAAATGGGGTTTAGAGCCTCAAAATACTGAAATCTGTATTTTTTAAAATCTTTTCCTTCTAATTTGTTATTCTTTTCTAAATAACACACTGTTATTTACTCAACCATAACACACAATTATCCTTGTTTTTATTTATTCGTTTAATTCTATAATCTTGGGCTTTTTAGCCGTAAATAAAGTCACCGGAAACAGACGGGACATTTCGAGCGATACACACCACAAACCCACCGAACTGATTACCCAAGATCCTCAGCTTGAAGCTCGTTGATTGGATGTTTTAGCCGCAATAAACGCTGGGATATGGTGTTAATAAGTTGTGATATCCGAAAACGAAAAATAAAATAATACCTAATTCAGAGTGTTCTTGCTTTTCTCTTTGGAAGTCATCACATAACGGCATTGTAATACACGGTTCGGCTGCATTAAATATTATACATCTGCCGTAGTTCTTTATTTATAGAGCCCTGATGAGAAGACTTCTAGACAAACATGAGGAACTGCCGCCAAAACTGAATACTTGATGTGGATCATAAATATATCAACAATTAAACAACATCTTCAATTTCTTTTCACAAAATACGTCTCCTTGCAGCATCAATAGTAATTCGGCTGACTTTTATATTTGATCCAATTGGTAGATAATAGGTTATATTTACACCATGACGGTGCACAGCTGATAGAAAAGGACTTGTAGTTTTTAAAGATATTACTGATTTTCTTTGAATATCAGAATGTAAATACTGAGTTGAGAGAATAGTCAGGGGATTTGGGTGATGGGAGACACATCTATGGATTCAGAATTTCAATAGCGTACCATTAAATGACGGATATACCTTTCTGTCTGTGATGTTTTACAAATCAGATATTAATGTGTAGAAGTAAAACATGTGAAATAATATAGCAATATCCTGTAAAATTATGTAAAAACATGAATAAAACTACACATCTTCAGATGTTATACATACATAAGTGTCCTACACTAATAATACAAAGTTATTATTAGTATGCTGTGTACCTTGTGTGCACCGCCTAGTGGTTAAAGCACGTTATTGAATTATTTTTGTTGAATAATGTTATTTGATGAAAACAATATTAAGAGTACATACTTTCATAGGGGGAAAGTAGAAGGTCAATGATAGAAATATAGAATATAAAAAGTCAAGAAGATACTATAAGTGATCTCTACAATAAAACAGTTTAGTGCCGGATGTACAAAGATATTAATAGGAGGAGGTGCAAAACAGAAAAACGAATTAACCTTTATTAACACATTAAAGAATACTTTAGGTTAAGGTCTTATTTTAAACAAGAAAAAAACTTTGGGGGTATCTATCTACCGATGAATATTAAGCCTGACAAAGTACTTAACGTCTAATATATTGCTTTCCTGCAATGTTAACTATGTTGAAGCACTTCTTTTAACTGATATTATACACATTAATTATACTCTTATGTAGATAGAATAAGAAATGTGCAGAATATGACAGTTTAATGGTGGAGGTACACACATATTGATAGATGTCTTGTAATGCGCTGTTGAGGAACCTGCGACCCAAGTTGTGTATAAGATCAATAAACCTTAGAAAATCTTGAAATCTTGAAAGGGATGTGCAAAATAGCCATTATACAGTTTTTAATTAACTATTAGTAGAGAATAACGAGTAATGAATATACTTTATAGAGATCTGCAGATAAATGTTTAGTCTTCTCAAGCACCAACTATCAAATATCTCTCCTGATTGTTGGCACTTGACAATCACCTTCCCTGAATTTTACTCAGGTGTAACTAAAGTCTGCTTTAAGGGTTGTTTATATTTCACATCATTAATCAGAATCTGCAAAGTAACTAAACTAAATGCAGTGGAGTAAAAATACCAGGTTAACCTCTGAATTGTAGTGGAGTAGAATTACAAAGTAAGCTGTCGTGTGGGTATATATTAATGCTGCCCATTATGGATATAAGCGATTTTTACCCATTTAGTAATTACATGTTTTAAATTTGTACACACCAATGTGTTTCCTATCGCCTAAACCTCCAGGGCTGTACACAGTTTAATACTGGCAACTTCTAATTTTGGGAAAAACGTCTTTTAAAACTACAATTCCCAGTAGATACGTGCCATAGAGAACATGTTGCGAAACACAATGCATGTGTAGTTCTCGGGGGGCGTTCGAGTCCAGTTTTGAATAGTCTGCCGTGGTTTCGTTCCATTTCAAAGAGCTTGACGCTCGGCGTAACCTTGGCGCACTGCCACTCCAACATCACGGGGTTAGTCAACGGGACTGTAGTCCCAAACGATAGCTGGGGATTATGGGTAATGTAGTGTCTTCGGCCATCCTAAATCTCGAAATGTCCCGTCTGTTTCTGGTGACTTTATTTACGGCTAAAAAGCCCAAGATTATAGAATTAAACAAATAAATAAAAACAAGGATAATTGTGTGTTATTGTTGAGTAAATAACAGTGTGTTATTTAGAAAAGAATAACAAATTAGAAGGAAAAGATTTTAAAAAATACAGATTTCAGTATTTTGAGGCTCTAAGCCCCATTTATTTTCCTCACAGACGTTTATACGATTTAAAATAAAAACAAATAAATAAAAAGATAAAACACTGGCATGTAATTTACGTTAGAATAAATAGAATGGTTTTGAATAATAGATGAGAGTAAAATCTACGTCACTTTACAGCCCCGCCCACTTTTGGGGAAACCAACGCTGTCATTTGAACAGCGATCGAGCCTGAAGCCACAGAGCTCTTCTGTTACTGTCTTTTCTTCTTAGAGGAAGTACAGAAACAAGTAACTCTGGATTTGTTTTAATGTTTGAGGTGCAATAAACGACACAGCAGCTTTTTGTCATGTTAAAACTATTATTTTCTGCCTCGCTCATGAGAGTAACAGCTGCCGAAATTACAGCCTCGCCTACTGATTTTAATTTAACCATATATCGAGCCTGATTCTCGATTTCAAAGGTGTGCTCTAAAATGATATTTATAAATGACTATTATCATTATTATAAGCAAGACAATAAATGGCAAAGATATGTAGAAAATAAACGTATTTAAGATACGTTCATAACGAACGTAACGTGGGAGAAAATACGTTTCTAGCTAAACGTAATTGAGAATGCAGTTTAGTTCTGTGGGAACGTAATTTTTAGGAGACAGGGTTGCTGCAGCACATGTCAATTCTCCGGCTGATATATAAACCATAATTAACTTCATAAAAAACCGTCAGTGTTTGACATCACGCTCCAGCTCTCCCTGTCTCTCTGAGTTTCGTCTCCATTGCTTCCGAAGTTTTCATCACACAAGCTTGGAGGTCTTTGTTCTTCTTCGTAGATGAATCAGTATGTTCTGCAATAAATCAACTGTTGTATTGTTTACCTTTGATTGAAACAGGAGGAGACTTCTTGATTTGAATGTTTTCTATGTTTTTCTTCATACAACTATTTTATGGTGTGTTATACATTATATTCATGTAAAAGTCTGTAAGCATGATCAAAATGTAAATGAACATATTGTGGAACACATTTTTAAAACAGTCAGGGAATAATTCTGTATACATGTTTACCGTTCGCCCTCTGACGCAGATGCCCTAACCCTCGAGCAGCCGTTATCCCCCTTAAGGAGGAGCTGCTCTAGCAAGTTGTTGTTACCAGTTTGTGAGCGGGCAGCTCTCGGCCAGAGATAGTCATTGTTGTGGGACACCTGGAACACATCCTTCTCAGGGTGTAGATGACCTCGAGCCATAAGAGACAACAATGTGATTCAGTGTCCTCAGCTGTTTAGTCTATCTATTGAAGAATGTTGATTATTACACTCTGAACTAGTTCAAACCTGGAGCTACAGGAGGGTTCATCTCTACCGTGTGGTCAGACCGTGGCTCGTGACATGTCTCGTGAATTCTCCGGCAAAAGCTCCAAATAAACCGTCAGTGTTTGACATCAAAGCTCCAGCTCTCCTCGTGTCTCTGAGTCCTGACTCCATCAGAGCTCCAGCTCTCCTCGTGTCTCTGAGTCCTGACTCCATCAGAGCTCCAGCTCTCCTCGTGTCTCTGAGTCCTGACTCCATCAAAGCTCCAGCTCTCCTTGTGTCTCTCTGAGTCCTGACTCCATCAGAGCTCCAGCTCTCCTCGTGTCTCTGAGTCCTGACTCCATCAGAGCTCCAGCTCTCCTCGTGTCTCTCTGAGTCCTGACTCCATCAGAGCTCCAGCTCTCCTCGTGTCTCTCTGAGTCCTGACTCCATCAGAGCTCCAGCTCTCCTTGTGTCTCTCTGAGTCCTGACTCCATCAGAGCTCCAGCTCTCCTCGTGTCTCTCTGAGTCCTGACTCCATCAAAGCTCCAGCTCTCCTCGTGTCTCTCTGAGTCCTGACTCCATCAGAGCTCCAGCTCTCCTCGTGTCTCTGAGTCCTGACTCCATCAGAGCTCCAGCTCTCCTCGTGTCTCTCTGAGTCCTGACTCCATCAGAGCTTCAGCTCTCCTCGTGTCTCTGAGTCCTGACTCCATCAGAGCTCCAGCTCTCCTCGTGTCTCTCTGAGTCCTGACTCCATCAGAGCTCCAGCTCTCCTCGTGTCTCTGAGTCCTGACTCCATCAGAGCTCCAGCTCTCCTCGTGTCTCTCTGAGTCCTGACTCCATCAAAGCTCCAGCTCTCCTCGTGTCTCTCTGAGTCCTGACTCCATCAGAGCTCCAGCTCTCCTTGTGTCTCTCTGAGTCCTGACTCCATCAGAGCTCCAGCTCTCCTCGTGTCTCTCTGAGTCCTGACTCCATCAGAGCTCCAGCTCTCCTCGTGTCTCTGAGTCCTGACTCCATCAGAGCTCCAGCTCTCCTCATGTCTCTCTGAGTCCTGACTCCATCAGAGCTCCAGCTCTCCTCGTGTCTCTCTGAGTCCTGACTCCATCAAACCTCCAGCTCTCCTCGTGTCTCTGAGTCCTGACTCCATCAAAGCTCCAGCTCTCCTCGTGTCTCTCTGAGTCCTGACTCCATCAGAGCTCCAGCTCTCCTCGTGTCTCTCTGAGTCCTGACTCCATCAGAGCTCCAGCTCTCCTCGTGTCTCTGAGTCCTGACTCCATCAGAGCTCCAGCTCTCCTCGTGTCTCTCTGAGTCCTGACTCCATCAGAGCTCCAGCTCTCCTCGTGTCTCTCTGAGTCCTGACTCCATCAAACCTCCAGCTCTCCTCGTGTCTCTGAGTCCTGACTCCATCAAAGCTCCAGTTCTCCTCGTGTCTCTCTGAGTCCTGACTCCATCAGAGCCCCAGCTCTCCTCGTGTGTCTCTGAGTCCTGACTCCATCAAAGCTCCAGCTCTCCTCGTGTCTCTCTGAGTCCTGACTCCATCAGAGCTCCAGCTCTCCTCGTGTCTCTGAGTCCTGACTCCATCAAAGCTCCTGCTCTCCTCGTGTCTCTGAGTCCTGACTCCATCAGAGCTCCAGCTCTCCTCGTGTCTCTGAGTCCTGACTCCATCAGAGCTCCAGCTCTCCTCGTGTCTCTCTGAGTCCTGACTCCATCAGAGCTCCAGCTCTCCTCGTGTCTCTGAGTCCTGACTCCATCAGAGCTCCTGCTTTCCTCGTGTCTCTGAGTCCTGACTCCATCAGAGCTCCTGCTCTCCTCGTGTCTCTGAGTCCTGACTCCATCAAAGCTCCAGCTCTCCTTGTGTCTCTCTGAGTCCTGACTCCATCAAAGCTCCATCTCTCCTCGTGTCTCTCTGAGTCCTGACTCCATCAAAGCTCCAGCTCTCCTCGTGTCTCTCTGAGTCCTGACTCCATCAAAGCTCCAGCTCTCCTTGTGTCTCTCTGAGTCCTGACTCCATCAAAGCTCCATCTCTCCTCGTGTCTCTCTGAGTCCTGACTCCATCAAAGCTCCAGCTCTCCTCGTGTCTCTCTGAGTCCTGACTCCATCAAAGCTCCAGCTCTCCTCGTGTCTCTCTGAGTCCTGACTCCATCAAAGCTCCAGCTCTCCTCGTGTCTCTCTGAGTCCTGACTCCCATTGCTTCAGAAGTTTCCCCCACATAAACCTCTACAGTATGTCAACTAAACAGAATTATAAACCTGGCTTCGACAGCTGGGGAAGTTTGTAGGAAAGTTAGAAAGAAGTAAACTGTTCTTAATATCACCTCTTTGGGACTTGTTTAAATAAAAAAGGACGACTTTTTTGTTATTTGGACCCAACGTACAGATAAATACAACTGGACTTGAGGGCTTGGAAAGACACAATGCTTCTTTCTTTGGGTCAAAACAGTCGTGAATGATGTGCCAAACATCACCGTTTCTTATTCATTTGTAATCAGACTTAGTTGTCTATTCTTCAAACTTCTCTAGATGTTGAATAAGGCAAACAGGAATGCCACAAAGCGACTTTTCGTTCCTCGTTTTGTTGCAACGTTTATGTCCCCACCTTGGAAATGGTTGCTAAATAAAGACACATCTACTGTATATTTGTCACCATCAAATCACCTTCTTCTTCACTGAGTCGCTCACCTTTATAATCATCTCAAACGTGAAGACTCCCGTGAACACGTAATCAAAATACCGCAGAACCTAAAAAGAAAAAAGACAGTAAAAATAAATATATAAGAAAAGCAGATTCATGCAGCATAAAACAGATAATAACAACGTTTATTCCACAAAGGAGGGGAAGTTCCTCAAGTTGATGATTCGATATCAAGACATGTGGAACTTTTAAGGATCTCTTTTTATGCTTTAATATAAAAAATTCTCCTCTATATGGAAACACCAGATAATTCCTCCAGGTTCAGTGCGTCTAATACGGAAATGTCTTCATGCATTAGTGATTTTTACTGCCCCCCCCATCAAGTCACATTAGAGTCCTTTCGCAAAACAATTTAAGGAAATGTTGCTACTTAGTGATGAAGCTATGAGACCCAAGACAGAGATAAACAAATCGTATCGCACAGTGGTCCCCAATGATTATCAGTCTGAACGATGTTTTATTTAGAAAAATGACCGAATATATCCGTCTGCGTCTCTGGATACATATCAACACCATAGATCAGGGGGGGTCCAAACCTTTTTCACAGAGGGCCACATACAGGAAAATATACGAAGGGCTGGGCCGCTCACGAGAGGTATATCGGCTCGTAAGTTCAGTTATAAGTTAGCAAAATACATCAAATGTAGGTATGAGTGTTGGCAGCTCATCCCTCAGAGTGATTATAACAAGGACAATTATGAAGGGTGTATGTCAAGCTTGTTATGGAAATAAGTCAATGGGCTTTTTTCTCATCAACTAAGATATGTTAGAAAATGTTTCCAACTTTAATTGACTGAATTTATTTGAAAAGTGGGCGTATTAACAGGTGAATACTACTGTGTGATATATTTCTACATTTAAGAAGTATAATATAAGACAAGCACAAGTTTCATTTGTATTCCATTATACTTTTTTAATTTGCTGAGGGCCGATTCAAAATGGCCCGCGGGCCGTAGTTTGGACACCCCTGCCATGGATCAAGATGCTCGTCTCAGTCACGTGACACTTCTCTCTGCTGAGCTCCGTGTTTGTTGGCCTTTAATGTGTCTCTCGTACAACAGTACTCGTTTCAAGAAGATATTTTGATCATGATATTTCATCAGCGGAGTTCATAAAATGTAGACTGAAGCCTGATGTTTACGGAGGACAGGACAGATATATTCCGGCTTAGATTGGGTGTTTGTCATCACTTCACTACGCCTTGCTACCTTGACATTAAACTACTTTCAACTAAGGACACAGCTGTAAGTGGCGTCTACGTCTACAAAATTTGATTTGAGCACACAAACACGGCGCATATGAAAGGCGTTGTGTTTGCAAATGATGGTTTTCTTCAGAAGAAAAGTGCCAGAGCGGCGTTACGGCAGAACTTCAACCCTGCATCCCCATACTTTGAAGGCCTTGAGAATATCGTGTTACATGAAACCGGTTCGTGGTGCAAAAAAGGTTGGGGACCGCTGGTAAAGCAGACATATTCTCTCACACACACACACACACACACACACACACACACACACACACACACACACACACACACACACACACACACACACACACACACACACACACACACACACACACACACACACACACACACACACACACACACACACACACATACCGTGTATACATCACTTCAGGGGACATTACATTGACTTACATGCATTTCCTGGAGACTTACCCTAACCTTAACCATAACCAAGTCTTCATCCTAAAATTAATGATTCCCCTCATGTCCCCATAAGGGAGGTGAGTCCCCACACGTGACTGTGTAAACAGATTTAGGTCCCCACAAGGATAGTAATGCTAGCCCACACACACACACGAACACACACACACACACACCTTGTTCCAGTTGGAGGAGGTGGCTACAGGGTCTTCAGCAGCTAATGCTATGCTGCTAGCTGCTATCACCAGCAGGATGCACGTCTCAAAGTAACGCAGATTCACCACGTAGTGACAGACCCGACGCACCCTGTGGAGACAAGAGGGGGGAGTATACATGTTATACGTGGACTATAATCATTCATATTCCCTTGGTGTTATAAGTCTGTACCCGTGGATAAACGTACGGGTTGTCAGGTTTGAAGATGAACATGCTGTCTGGAGTCACAACCGGCTTCGACTCCTCTTCCTCCTCCTTCTCTGATTTACAGTCAGGGTCCTTACTCTTCACTGGAGGAATATCAGGGGGGGAGACAAGGAGGTGAGGAGGAGATGGTACAGTGAAAGGATACTTTTCTCCATAGACTTACACTTAAAAGAACAATACTGATATACACCTGAACATCAGCAGGAGAGGACTCTTTAAAGTAGAGACACTACATACTGATATACACCTGAACATCAGCAGGAGAGGACTCTTTAAAGTAGAGACACTACATACTGATATACACCTGAACATCAGCAGGAGAGGACTCTTTAAAGTAGAGACACTACATACTGATATACAACCTGAACATCAGCAGGAGAGGACTCTTTAAAGTAGAGACACTACATACTGATATACACCTGAACATCAGCAGGAGAGGACTCTTTAAAGTAGAGACACTACATACTGATATACACCTGAACATCAGCAGGAGAGGACTCTTTAAAGTAGAGACACTACATACTGACATACACCTGAACATCAGCAGGTGAGGACTCTTTAAAGTAGAGACACTACATACTGATATACACCTGAACATCAGCAGGAGAGGACTCTTTAAAGTAGAGACACTACATACTGATATACACCTGAACATCAGCAGGAGAGGACTCTTTAAAGTAGAGACACTACATACTGATATACACCTGAACATCAGCAGGAGAGGACTCTTTAAAGTAGAGACACTACATACTGATATACACCTGAACATCAGCAGGAGAGGACTCTTTAAAGTAGAGACACTACATACTGATATACACCTGAACATCAGCAGGAGAGGACTCTTTAAAGTAGAGACACTACATACTGATATACACCTGAACATCAGCAGGAGAGGACTCTTTAAAGTAGAGACACTACATACTGATATACACCTGAACATCAGCAGGAGAGCACTCTTTAAAGTAGAGACACTACATACTGATATACACCTGAACATCAGCAGGAGAGGACTCTTTAAAGTAGAGACACTACATACTGATATACACCTGAACATCAGCAGGAGAGGACTCTTTAAAGTAGAGACACTACATACTGATATACACCTGAACATCAGCAGGAGAGCACTCTTTAAAGTAGAGACACTACATACTGATATACACCTGAACATCAGCAGGAGAGGACTCTTTAAAGTAGAGACACTACATACTGATATATACCTGAACATCAGCAGGAGAGGACTCTTTAAAGTAGAGACACTACATACTGATATACACCTGAACATCAGCAGGAGAGGACTCTTTAAAGTAGAGACACTACATACTGATATACACCTGAACATCAGCAGGAGAGGACTCTTTAAAGTAGAGACACTACATACTGATATACACCTGAACATCAGCAGGAGAGGACTCTTTAAGGTAGAGACTCTACATACTGATATACACCTGAACATCAGCAGGAGAGGACTCTTTAAAGTAGAGACACTACATACTGATATACACCTGAACATCAGCAGGAGAGGACTCTTTAAAGTAGAGACACTACATACTGATATACACCTGAACATCAGCAGGAGAGGACTCTTTAAAGTAGAGACACTACATACTGATATACACCTGAACATCAGCAGGAGAGGACTCTTTAAAGTAGAGACACTACATACTGATATACACCTGAACATCAGCAGGAGAGGACTCTTTAAAGTAGAGACACTACATACTGATATACACCTGAACATCAGCAGGAGAGGACTCTTTAAAGTAGAGACACTACATACTGATACACACCTGAACATCAGCAGGAGAGGACTCTTTAAAGTAGAGACACTACGTACTGATTTACACCTGAACATCAGCAGGAGAGGACTCTTTAAAGTAGAGACACTACATACTGGTACCTGTGATGGTGGATAGCTCCAGACAGGACTGAGCGTTGGGAACCTCGATGATCACACTGGTGCTGAGCGGACAATTCTCCTTCTCCGTCTCTTCTTCGTTTTTCTCTGGGACGACGGGAGGATCTGGATCTGATTTCTGAGGAGTTTCCTCCGTGTCTCCGATGTGGATCTGACTCTCCTGTGGGTCAGTGTGTCCTCCTTCTCCCAGACTGGAAATACAGAGAGAAAGTATTTAAGATACAGACAGAAGAACAGTGATATTATAACACTTAGGTCGGTGCTGTTAGTTGGTGACTGTATAGTCCAAAAGCTACAGGAACCACTATCATTGTATTTTTATTTTGTTTCTTTCCGTTAACTGTCAAATCGGAACTAAGTATTTTTTTGGACGTGTTTGTGTTTCTCTTATTTTCCTACGATGCTGTTATGATTGGCTGAGAATAAGAACATATGAAGGACAGACCATCTATTTCTATTTCTTTCTTTCTAGAAAGGAGCAGGTCATATCAGATCATTTCCTTCTCCCTGCTCCTTTTCGGGTACGGTGTGTTTATAGAGACATGTTTTGTAAATAATTGTTATACATTAAGTTGTGCATACCATGAACGGAACAAATACAAATGAAATTGATGCTTGAACATGGATTCATTCACTAAAGGAGGATCTAAATAATACTCTTACGGTTTCATTTTAACCCACAAATGCTAAATTGTATTCCAATTACCATTCGACGACCTGTGTGAATATATCTTTGTTATTCTCTTAACCTTAGACTGTAACTTTCTCTTGGGTATTCCCGAAGTCCTGTGATTACATCTATTTTAAAGTCTTGTATAATTCTTTTAGATCTCGAGGTAATTTAAAGTCAATGGCAGTGAACATAAATGTGACATCCTGTAGATAAATCTGACCGGAGGAACCTGCTAATTGAATATTTTCCATGTTTTCTACAATTGTATTGTGTGTTGTAAATTATATGAATGTAGAAGTCTGTATATAAGGATGTTAAAAATGTAAATAAAACATATTGTGGAACAACCTTTGACTCTAATATGTCGACAAAACTTGAATTTGCATCTCTTCTTCAATCATTACTTTCTTTCTTGACTTTCATTTAAAGGTCCCATGTCATGGCCATTTCCACTGATCATAATTCCATTGTTGAGGTCTACTAGAATAGATTTATATTGTGCAATTTTCCAAACTCACATTGGTTCCTCAAACAGCATCTCTGTAAACTACGTGTATTCACTGAATTTCACTCTATGCCTTTAACGGCTCGTTGTAGCTCCAATAGCTCCAGCCCCCACCCTCCCTGTGAGCACAGTGTGCTCCGATTGGTCGGGACGTTGTGAATCGCGCTGAGCTCCGTGGAGGTGTGATTTCCTTGTTTAGCGATACACAGCGAAACACAGCCAAACTCACGCTGAGCACACACAAAGTCACAGCCGAAGTAGAAACAATAAGTGTGGCTTGATATTGAGTAAGAAAAAGGTTGATAAACGCTGTGAGAATGGGTCTGCAGAGAGAATGGGTCTGCAGAGAGAATGGGTCTGCAGAGAGAATGGGTCTGCAGAGAGAATGGGTCTGCAGAGAGAATGGGTCTGCAGAGAGAATGGGTCTGCAGAGAGAATGGGTCTGTAGAGAGAATGGGTCTGCAGAGAGAATGGGTCTGCAGAGAGAATGGGTCTGCAGAGAGAATGGGTCTGCAGAGAGAATGGGTCTGCAGAGAGAATGGGTCTGCAGAGAGAATGGGTCTGCAGAGAGAATGGGTCTGCAGAGAGAATGGGTCTGCAGAGAGAATGGGTCTGTAGAGAGAATGGGTCTGCAGAGAGAATGGGTCTGCAGAGAGAATGGGTCTGCAGAGAGAACGGGTCTGCAGAGAGAATGGGTCTGCAGAGAGAATGGGTCTGCAGAGAGAATGGGTCTGCAGAGAGAATGGGTCTGCAGAGAGAATGGGTCTGCAGAGAGAATGGGTCTGCAGAGAGAACGGGTCTGTAGAGAGAATGGGTCTGCAGAGAGAATGGGTCTGCAGAGAGAATGGGTCTGCAGAGAGAATGGGTCTGTAGAGAGAATGGGTCTGCAGAGAGAATGGGTCTGCAGAGAGAATGGGTCTGCAGAGAGAACGGGTCTGCAGAGAGAATGGGTCTGCAGAGAGAATGGGTCTGCAGAGAGAATGGGTCTGCAGAGAGAATGGGTCTGCAGAGAGAAGGGTCTGCAGAGAGAACGGGTCTGTAGAGAGAAGGGTCTGCAGAGAGAATGGGTCTGCAGAGAGAATGGGTCTGCAGAGAGAAGGGTCTGCAGAGAGAATGGGTCTGCAGAGAGAATGGGTCTGCAGAGAGAATGGGTCTGCAGAGAGAAAGGTCTGTAGAGAGAATGGGTCTGCAGAGAGAATGGGTCTGCAGAGAGAATGGGTCTGCAGAGAGAACGGGTCTGCAGAGAGAATGGGTCTGCAGAGAGAACGGGTCTGCAGAGAGAATGGGTCTGCAGAGAGAATGGGTCTGCAGAGAGAATGGGTCTGTAGAGAGAATGGGTCTGCAGAGAGAATGGGTCTGCAGAGAGAACGGGTCTGCAGAGAGAACGGGTCTGCAGAGAGAATGGGTCTGCAGAGAGAATGGGTCTGCAGAGAGAATGGGTCTGCAGAGAGAATGGGTCTGCAGAGAGAATGGGTCTGCAGAGAGAATGGGTCTGCAGAGAGAAGGGTCTGCAGAGAGAATGGGTCTGCAGAGAGAACGGGTCTGCTGCAGAGAGAACGGGTCTGCAGAGAGAACGGGTCTGTAGAGAGAATGGGTCTGCAGAGAGAATGGGTCTGCAGAGAGAATGGGTCTGCAGAGAGAACGGGTCTGCAGAGAGAACGGGTCTGCAGAGAGAACGGGTCTGCAGAGAGAATGGGTCTGCAGAGAGAATGGGTCTGCAGAGAGAATGGGTCTGCAGAGAGAATGGGTCTGCAGAGAGAACGGGTCTGCAGAGAGATGGGTCTGCAGAGAGAATGGGTCTGCAGAGAGAATGGGTGTAGAGAGAATGGGTCTGCAGAGAGAACGGGTCTGCAGAGAGAACGGGTCTGTAGAGAGAATGGGTCTGCAGAGAGAATGGGTCTGCAGAGAGAATGGGTCTGCAGAGAGAATGGGTCTGCAGAGAGAATGGGTCTGCAGAGAGAATGGGTCTGCAGAGAGAATGGGTCTGCAGAGAGAATGGGTCTGCAGAGAGAATGGGTCTGCAGAGAGAATGGGTCGTAGAGAGAAGGGTCTGCAGAGAGAATGGGTCTGCAGAGAGAATGGGTCTGCAGAGAGAACGGGTCTGCAGAGAGTAGGGTCTGCAGAGAGAATGGGTCTGCAGAGAGAATGGGTCTGCAGAGAGAACGGGTCTGCAGAGAGAATGGGTCTGCAGAGAGAATGGGTCTGCAGAGAGAATGGGTCTGCAGAGAGAACGGGTCTGCAGAGAGAATGGGTCTGCAGAGAGAATGGGTCTGCAGAGAGAAGGGTCTGCAGAGAGAATGGGTCTGCAGAGAGAATGGGTCTGCAGAGAGAACGGGTCTGCAGAGAGAACGGGTCTGCAAGAGAATGGGTCTAGAGAGAATGGGTCTGCAGAGAGAATGGGTCTGCAGAGAGAATGGGTCTGCAGAGAGAATGGGTCTGCAGAGAGAATGGGTCTGCAGAGAGAAGGGTCTGCAGAGAGAATGGGTCTGCAGAGAGAATGGGTCTGCAGAGAGAATGGGTCTGTAGAGAGAAGGGTCTGCAGAGAGAATGGGTCTGCAGAGAGAATGGGTCTGCAGAGAGAATGGGTCTGCAGAGAGAATGGGTCTGCAGAGAGAATGGGTCTGCAGAGAGAATGGGTCTGCAGAGAGAGAACGGGTCTGCAGAGAGAACGGGTCTGCAGAGAGAATGGGTCTGCAGAGAACGGGTCTGCAGAGAGAATGGGTCTGCAGAGAGAATGGGTCTGCAGAGAGAATGGGTCTGCAGAGAGAATGGGTCTGCAGAGAGAATGGGTCTGCAGAGAGAATGGGTCTGCAGAGAGAACGGGTCTGCAGAGAGAATGGGTCTGCAGAGAGAATGGGTCTGCAGAGAGAATGGGTCTGCAGTGAGAATGGGTCTGCAGAGAGAATGGGTCTGCAGAGAGAATGGGTCTGCAGAGAGAAGGGTCTGCAGAGAGAATGGGTCTGCAGAGAGAACGGGTCTGCAGGTGAGAATGGGTCTGCAGAGAGAAGGGTCTGAGAGAGAATGGGTCTGCAGAGAGAATGGGTCTGCAGTGAGAATGGGTCTGCAGAGAGAATGGGTCTGCAGAGAGAATGGGTCTGCAGAGAGAACGGGTCTGCAGAGAGAATGGGTCTGCAGAGAGAATGGGTCTGCAGTGAGAATGGGTCTGCAGAGAGAATGGGTCTGCAGTGAGAATGGGTCTGCAGAGAGAATGGGTCTGCAGAGAGAATGGGTCTGCAGTGAGAATGGGTCTGCAGAGAGAATGGGTCTGCAGAGAGAATGGGTCTGCAGAGAGAACGGGTCTGCGGTGAGAATGGGTCAGCAGAGAGAATGGGTCTGCAGAGAGAACGCGTCAGCAGAGAGAATGGGTCTGCAGAGAGAATGGGTCTGCAGAGAGAATGGGTCTGTAGAGAGAATGGGTCTGCAGAGAGAATTTCGCCGCGATCCCAACTGTCTGTTATCAGCCTGCAGCCCGGGAGGAGAGATCAGCAGAGCTGCCTGCACTGAGTGTGTGAGGAAGTCCGTGGATTGGTCAATTTGGACCAATCCACGGGGGCTTAACGTAACGGCTCCGCGGACGTAACGTAACGGCTCCACGGATTGGTCCATTTTGTTCCGGGTACGGTTGACATCATGCGTACCCGGAAGAATCAAATGGACAGTGACGTATCTCCAACGAGGCGTTTTGGGGAGGTATTTTCTGTGTTAGAGTTTTACTCGCTACAGGGTGTACTTTGAGGGTTTTGACTCTGCAGACCGTTTACATGCATAAAACCTTCATAACACAAGGGGACGGGTAATAACCGGAAAAGCATGACATGGGACCTTTAACCTGTTTACCAATTCTAAAAAACCCGAATAAACACAAAACAACATGTTGGATGAGTATCTCAACCTCAGAGCACATTACAACAACTGTGAACACACACACACACACACACACACACACACACACACACACACACACACACACACACATACCATGTATACATCACTTCAGGGGACATTACATTGACTTACATGCATTTCCTGGAGACTTATCCTAACCTTAACCATAACCAACACATGCCTAACCCTAACCCATACCCTAACCCTAACCAAGTCTTCACCCTAAAATTAATTAAACTATTTACTAATATATATTTAGACTGTAAGTGTAAATATGCACATTGACATTGAATGTTATCTCGTTGCACTGTCACCGCTACTACCTCTGCTTTATTTTTTACTGCAGTGAGAGTTGCCAAAGACATTTTGTTTCGTACTTTGTATGATGACAATAAAGATATATTCTATTCTATTCTATCCTCTCACCTGCTCTCCTCAGGTTTGCACTCTTCTTTTTCCTCCATTTTGGTCTCCACCTCCTTCTCCCTCCACTCGCTCCGGATGTTTCCTCCTCTCTCTGCTGGCCGATCGACTCCCGGGTGATGATGCCTGACTCTTATTCTCTCCGTGATGCCTCCCCCTGCGACCCCTGACTCCTCCGTGACCTCCCATTTCGGGGGTCAACAAATCCAGGTTTTCAGGAGGTCTGAACTTCTTCACCGCTCTGTGTTGTCGCTCGCCGTTTAATCTGGGACTCCGGCGCTCGCTGTGAGTCGGATCAACGGTGAGTTTTTCGCTCTCAGTTACAGATTCAGCTTCAGATTCAGGTTTAGCAATAGGTGCTTCAGAAGGGGGATTATTTGTAGGATCTTCACCAGAAAGAGTGGCATCCAAAGGCATATCCAGAGACACAGAGGAGTTTGAAGCAGGGTTTTTGGACGGCGATGCTAAAGGGTCTTTTTTTAAACTCCCGGAAAGTGTGTTCTCCATGGTTTTTCGATGCAGTGACTGTGGATGTCCAGTAGGGGCAGCGTTGGAGTTTGGGTTTCCGTCCTTTTCCTCGTTTTGGCTGTTGAACAGAATCTCTCGACTGGACATCTGTCTGTGTCTCCTCAGCTGGCTGGTCCTCTGCTCCCACACCGACATGGTCATCCTCTTCCTCCTCTCCCTCCTGGACATGAAACAGTGAGAGGGGTTGAGAGGGAGGCCACGACCCTCCTCCAGACTGCAGGAGTAGGTGGGCCGGCTGCGGTGGATCGCTCGCTTCCTGTAGAGGTAGGGCCGCCTCCTCCTGCTACCACTGAGAAAAAGAAGAAGAAGAGGAACACATATCAGAGAAAATAAACATTTTATTATTAACAACACATTTACAAGGGACAGTTCTCCCGGAAATTTTAAATACATATTATTCCTCTCCCCTGTTTATCAATCTAGATAGAATTTCTGAAGTAAAAAGCTAATGTTGGGCTATAAAGGAACTACAGCACGGTCACATGACTTCACATCACCACCGCTAAGCTAAAGGAGGCTAATGTTGGGCCATAAAGAAACTACAGCACGGTCACATGACTTCACGTCACCACCGCTAAGCTAAAGGAGGCTAATGTTGGGCTATAAAGAAACTACAGCACGGTCACATGACTTCACGTCAGCACCGCTAAGCTAAAGGAGGCTAATGTTGGGCTATAAAGGAACTACAGCATGGTCACATGACTTCACGTCACCACCGCTAAGCTAAAGGTGGCTAATGTTGGGCCATAAAGAAACTACAGCACGGTCACATGACTTCACGTCACCACCGCTAAGCTAAAGGAGGCTAATGTTGGGCTATAAAGAAACTACAGCACGGTCACATGACTTCACGTCAGCACCGCTAAGCTAAAGGAGGCTAATGTTGGGCTATAAAGGAACTACAGCATGGTCACATGACTTCACGTCACCACCGCTAAGCTAAAGGTGGCTAATGTTGGGCTATAAAGAAACTACAGCACGGTCACATGACTTCACGTCACCACCGCTAAGCTAAAGGAGGCTAATGTTGTTCGTGATGACGTTTAGTCGTCTCATTTAGACACTTGTTAGCCAATTTCGCAATCAGCTATTTACACCAAATAGTGGATATTGATAAATAGCACAACAGGGAAGAGGACAAATATGTGCTTTTGATTTTAGGTTGAACTGTCCCTTGAATACACAGAAGTTTTATCTCTGGTTTATCTTTTATTTATTTATTTTAGTATGTATTGTTATTGAAAACATCTTTGTTTGCATGCTGTGAATCCTGAAAAGTCTCATTTGATTCAAAGTAAAGTTTCTGAATCTGTTTCGACTGATTTAAATTCTTCTAGGTTCCTTTTTCATTTGATAAAATACAATGAAATATACACATTAAAACCAAAGAAAACAATATCACAGTATGTGTGCTAACAATGCTTTTGTCTGATGCTCAACTTTAGGAGCTGTTTTAAATCAACAATAACAAATCACTGGATCGATGGAGATGTAAAGTGATAAATTAAGCAAGCCAGGAGTTGTTGTGAGACTGTGATAACAAAAGGAGTAAGATGCAGAGCGAAACCAGTGGGAGAGATATAAAGAAAAGTGGAATAAAATGAGGTTTGGACTGGAGGTACAGCACAGAATATGAATCAGGCTGAGCGACAGAGATACTTACTGGAGCGAGGACTCTTGTGTGGTCCGTGTTATCAATGAGCGATTGGTTGAAAACAAGACATTAGTGCTTTTGTGAGCAGAGACAAAACAGAACAGGAGACACACAGCAAAAGATCCGTGAAGATAAACACAAACAACACAACTCATTACAGGCTGATAACGCCATGTTGTTGAAAGGTAAAGGTGCTTTAATAGACTGCAAAATGCATCATTTGTATTGTATTCTACGGTGGCCGACGGGTGCAAAACGTGCTTCAACGGCCAAAACTCTTCCATACAAAAGCAAACAGACTCAAAGACAGTTTCTTCCCCAGAGCATCAGGAATTATTTCCTGAACTTTATTTTGTTATTATTTTATGAATGTATGAATGCTGCGTGTCGTTGTTGTTGTTGTCTTTCGTGTACTCTTCTTGTTGTACTTGTATAATGACAATAAATGCTTCTAATCTAATCATTAGGAGAAACACACAGTTATAAAATCACAAAACACACTCAAATGTAGACTTTAAAAACACAACGGAAACCAGGGGACACTAAAAAAGTGACGCGCACAGCTCGGAGATTATAAAGTTAACCAAGGGTGTTTCTCAATGTCGAGTCACTTGCTTCAGAAGCGAGGCAAGAATCCTTCCTGGCATTCGGAAAACAAAGAGTGGAACAGGCAAGCAAGTGTGCGTCATATGAGAGGCCCCGCCTTACATTTTCCGCCACAGATTTGGGGAAATTGGTCCGTTCGCAAAGCATTGTGGGGATTTTAAGACCGCAGAGTCTACACATGTGCAGCCTCTAAATGTCTCGCTACGAAGGACGCCGGGCTCGGTAGATTTCCAAGTATGCTGGACATTGGATCAGTCCTTCAGCGGTACTCCATGACGTAGTATGCTTGAAATAGTGGCTCTGGAGCAGCCTTCCTCGACATTGAGAAACACCCCAACTGTTTTTTTTTTGTTGCAGCGTTTCATTTATGCAGCGCTTTTTAGAAAACTCTGCGTATGTGTTAATAATAATATTGCATTTTATTTATAGAGTGCTTTTCTTGAAACTCAAAGCTGGTGCGGATGTTTCTTCGTTTGCATTAGTTTCGGCACATTTGTGATTTTATATTTGCATTGTTTTCGAAAGCGCAGCATGTTTCTCCTCATGATAATATTAGAATTACAGGAGAAGCATTTATTGTCAATATACAACAAGAAGAGTAAAGTTACTCCTTTTGAGGTGCCATCGAAACATTCAGAATAGACAACATACAACAAAGACACGCAGCATTCATACATTCATAAAATAATAACAAAATAAAGTGCAGGAAATAATTCATGATGCTCGGGGGAAGAAACTCTCTGAGTCTGTTTGTCTTTGCTTTTGTATGGAAGAGTTTTGGCCGTTGAAGCACGTTTTGAACCCGTCAGCCACCGTATAATTCAGTTATAAGATCACGTTTTATGTTGCGAGCTTATATTTCCACCTTGTTGAGACATTTGTAGTGAATAAAGTATGAATTTGAGGGTCTCTCGATGCTTTGCTGTGTGTCTCCACTGGAGCCAGGCGGCACATTGACAAACGAGATGGTAGCAGTATTAGAAACAACATTAATAAACATCAACAGGTAGAACAACATTGATAGGAAGACAGTTACTACAGTATGGTAGAAGGTAGACAGGTAGAAAAACACAGAGATGGGCTCCGTCAGCAAACACGGGAAAAAAGTAGATAAATATATTTTAGAAAAACCCTTTGAAACAGAACCAGCACAGTGGGATGCAGCTCTGCACACCGCCCTCTCCTCAGAGCAAACACAGCATTCATAAGACATGCTAACAGAGCTAAAGGAATGCATGTGCAGAGAATCAAGATATTACAGGGTTCAACATTAATGTGTTTTTTTACTCGCCTGGTTGGTCGAATAAGTCAAGAATCCACCTGTCCAATTTAACTTGCCCTTTCAAGTCGTTTTTTTTATTAGCAGTTATCAAACACTTATATATTTTTTTCAAAAATACATTTTAAAAGTCTGACATTTTTTCATAATTCTCACTTTTTTTTAAAGGATGAAGTTTGTACTTTTTTTTTTTTAATTCTGACTTTTTTTCTCAAAATACTCACTTTTTTCAAAATGCTCACTTTTTTTAAAATGCTCACTTTTTTCAATATTCTCGATTTCTTAAAAATGCTCACTTTTTGTTCAAAATACTCACTTTTTTCAATATTCTCATTTTTTTTCAAAATACTCACTTTTTTCAATATTCTCACTTTTTTCAAAATGCTCACTTTTTTCAATATTCTCACTTTTTTCAAAATTCTCACTTTTTGTTCAAAATGCTCACTTTTTTTCTAAAACTCTCGTATTCTAAATTCTCAATTTTTTCAAAATTCTCACTTTTTGTTCAAAATGCTCACTTTTTTCAATATTCTTGATTTCTTAAAAATTCTCACTTTATGTTCAAAATGCTCACTTTGTTCAATATTCTCACTTTTTTCTAAAACTCTCGTATTCTAAATTCTCAATTTTTTCAATATTCTCAATTTCTTCAAAATTCTCCCTTTTTCACATTTCTGACTTCTTTCCTTCAAAATTCCGTCTTTTTTCTCAAATTCGCTTTTTAATAATCCTCGCTTTTTTCAGAATTCACATTTATTCGGTGTCCCGCACTCAAGAGACTTTGGGGGAAAATATTACTACATTTATTTTTAAATTTTTTGTTACTTTACAAATTAAGATTGCATAAAAATGACAGATACAATAAAAAGTATCCCCTCAAGTCAATCATCTGATCCTTCAAACACGCAGATATTTCTCGCCCGTCTGGAAAATAATGAACAACTTCAGGCTTCCTTGCAATCCTTATTGTTGAGCCCTGTATTACTTCTACGATATTCCAACAGCATTTGGGAGAGGGTTGGAAGAAAAACTGTACACGTCTTGTACTGAAAAGCAGGCTGTGTGTAAGGTGTGTTTTTCTTCCCTTGGTCATGCTGATCGTATGCATGCGTTCTCAAAGTGAAACCAGTCTCCCGCATGCTGCATGTCTTTTTCTTTTAATGCTGTCATGCAAGTTTCTCAGAGGTCAACAGGAGTCAGGTCAGTCGGGGTTTCACAGCTGACCCTAAAGTTCAGTCTGATTCAGAGTCTGGTGCTTTCTGACAGGAGACTGCAGTTTCCCTTCTGCTCTGAACAGTAATATTGGGGATATTTGCACACAGGACTTTCACCACTGTGGTTCCTGCACGTTTCAAAGTATATCTGTTTAACCCTTAAACATATCTGTCCATATGTAACGAGAACTCTGAGGAGAAAGTCAGGATGAGCAAAACAAGACTGAAATTTAAAAATTACGAATTTGAGAAAAAAAGTCATAATTTTTATGAAAGTCAGACATTTGTAAAAATCGCAAAAATTATTGAAAAATCTGAAATGTGAAAAAAGTGAGAATTTTGAGAAACATTTGAGAATTGTTAAAAGAAGTCAGAATTTTAAAAAAAGTAGGAATGTTGTTAAAAAGTGAGAATTTGGAAAGAAGTCAAAAAATCTGAATTTTGAGAAAATGTCAAAACTTTGAAAAAGAGTGTATTTTGATCTTTTTTCTAAAATTATTTTTTTTAATTCATTTTTCTTTTAGATAGTCAGGGTTTTCAGAATAAGTCAGAAAAAAAGTCAGAATAAAAACAAAGTCTGTCTGTAAAGAAGATGATTAGGATTCAGGCAGTAGGCGTCATCGGTTCAGAGTTTAATGTGTTTCTGTCTTATTCTGTTGCTGCTACAACACCTGACTAATCAATACAGGTCATCTTATCATATGTGATGTCTCCATGATAAGGTAAAGAAAGAAAGACACAGAGCAAGAAGGTACGGTGATACAAATGTGAATTCTTCCACATGCCCATGCAACAAAATGCTTGTTTCTTCACACACACAGCGAGCACACAGAGTCCCACTCTGCTGCATGCACATGCACTTCAAACACCTTCAGCACGATCAGGCACTTTGCAATCAATCCCCGAGTAAGAAAACACAATCTACTCTGCAAACCTGAGGACCTGAGTGTTGAAAAGACAAGGTCACGTTATGAACATATTCCACCAGTGAGAACAGAACAGATCAAAGCCTGCACACATGAAGGTAACTGTTGTTTGTACGGGTAAGCAAAAGCAACGTTTTCATCACAGTAAGCAAAGCAGCCTGTGGACAAAGTGAGCTCCAATTCCCCGCAGATCCATTCAACAAGAAGTAATCAAAACAAAAGTGATCGAGACACTCTAAGGACAAACACCACCAAATTCAGAGACAGTTTGATCCCACAGGCAAAACACCTGGACTGTTGAAACAACATCCATAACATTCATCTGCTACTTAGTCATTATTTACCTAATATATCATTCCAATAACTTGCATATAGACTTTCACTTTTTTAAACTATTTTTCTTTTTGTATTTACTTTTTAATATTTACTTGCACTATATTTTTCTGCTTATCTGTATTATTGTGTTGCACTGTTGGAGAAGCCTGTGACCTAAGATTTCCATCGACATCACTACTCTGTAGCTATGTATGACGTATATAAAGAACCTCGAACCTTGAACCTAGGGAAGATTTCAGTGCCTGGGTTTACAGACGATCTCTTTGGAAATCAAGTTTTCTGGCAACGACAGAAAGCTTAACACGTCTGTAACAACTTGACACAACAACAATGAGTTTTCCTGACACTGTGCACCAGCAAGGACCAACAAGACGCCCCCAGGACCACATGTTTGAAAAGCCTAACTTCATACTGTTCATTCATTTCCATTTTGCAGCTGGAGAAAAGCGTCTATGTTTAGTTCAGAAGTCAGTAACACTGAGGTGATAGCAGCAGAACAGTGGGGGGTCTCTAATCTAAACGGCTAAAGTCAGTTTAACAGAACGAGTGAAGTCCTTCAGGTTATTATCCACCGACATCAGCGACACTCTCACCATGTCTAATCACAACTCAATGTATGTTATGTATTGTTATTATTATAAACAGCCTTGTTAGCGCACATCACGCTAATAACGGGGATTTCATGAGGAAATATGTGTAATGACAGCCTGCTACTCGTCTACCATCTATTTGTACACCATATACCTCACCAGATTACACCACGGTTAGGATGCTAATCTCTTATTGGTTTGTGTAGCGACCATTTTTACATAGTGTTGTCTTCATTTCGCCCTCCTTGGTTCACTCCATGTTTATTAGGACACTAACCTTGCCTCTATCGATGAGAGTAACACATGCGTCACTTCCGGGCGAAGTTACGGCCACACACGCTTTGGAAGGGAAAACATTCACTGTTTTTGGATTGGCGGTAAATACAGATTCTGAAGTTTTCAACAATCACATCAAAAAAACAAAAAAACTGCGCTTTTTTTTATCTACAAGAAGCCCAATTATGATGGTCAGAGAGGCCCACTATAGAAACATGTCACTGGACATCGATGATCTGCGTAGATTTATAGTTTAGTTGAAATAATGGATGTCTGGTCGTCTGTAGAGGAAGTAAAGAAACCGTAGTATGTGTTACTCTCATCTATGACAACATCCCAAACTCCTCCCGCTCCAAAGTGGAAACAGTAACCATGGAGACCTGAATTTGGAGCAGAGGCCGCAGAGAAAACCTCTCACTTAACATCAATCACTCTCACACACTGATCATCAGCAGGATGACCTTCAGCATCCTCTCAAAGCTGCTCTGCATCACGTGGAAATCTAAATCTGTGCAGGTCAGTCTTAAATAGACGAGGACGGAGGCATCGTAGAAATGTATCACAAGTGTGATTTAATTAAATATATGACACTGGAACTTCTGGTTGATTTTCTGACAGTTTTCACTTCTATGTAAACCTGTCACTCCCAGGCTTTTATCACACCTTAAATACAAAAGACTGGCCACCTTCTGTTCTGACCATTAGTTATCATACGGTCTATAACTAACATGTCAAAGTTTAACCCTATGTCCAGCCACCAATCGTCAGTACCCTGTAATGTAATCACTATGTAGCTGAGACTTTCTGTGTCTCTTCCCTAAATGAAGTCATTGTTTTTCTGTGTAACTGGGTCAGATTTCTTTAGCACACATTGGTGCAGGCTATCTGTCCTTCCAGCTGGGAAAATATAATATATAACTATTTATTAAAGGTCCCCTATTACACTGTTTCTCATCAATATATCACAGGTCTCAGATATATCCAGAGCCTGTCTCTGATTGGCTGAAACACCAAACAGATCATTGCAGCATTACCCATAATCCCCTCTGTTTCAGCCCTGTTTCCAAAGTGCTGATTCTCTGTCTGTTACTTTAGATGAAAATAAGGAGCCCCTCCCCACGCCCCTCTGAGAGATATTTGGTTACAAAGAACTCAAGAGGCGCTTTCACACCGGAGTACTTTTCCCACAAAGGTTCATGTGAACTTAGTTCATGTGAACTCTTTAGTTCTCATGAACTAAGTTCAGATCGCGTTCTCACCGGAATAAGTCCCTGGGGGAGGATTAGGCAAATGAAGCCGCTGACGTCACTTCTTCTTCTTCTGCTTTGGGTTTACTGGCAGGCCGCAAACCACTTCACGGCGTATACTGCCGCCCGGAGTCCCCGGCCGGAAGTCCCGGGCCGGAAGTCCCCGGAGTTGGGGACTGGCTTCAGTAGAAGCTGCTGGGACTCCTAGCAGCTTCTACTGAAGCCTTCCGAGTAAATCGCCAGAACGCCGACACCTCCTCATCTCCACCACTCCCATGTTTTATTTTGTGTTGCCATAAATTAGTCTCTCTGCGTTTCTGCGCTGGGCTAATGCTAATGCTAATAATGCTAATGCGAGGATAATAAAATGGCGGCGTCACAAAACTTTTTGGGAGTTTTACGGGGCGTGGTTTGCAATCCTTCCAGCCAATCAGACACAGGAACCTTTTTCTCCCACGAAAGTACCTGCTCTCTAGCAGGGACAGAAAAGGGGGTGAAAAGGTTCTCATGAACTAATTTGAGTTCCGGCTCTTTTTGGTGTGAACGCGACATTTCAGAACTATATCGGAACTAAAGTGGGAAAAGTACTGCGGTGTGAACGCGCCTAATGGAGCTCCAGGAGGACATTCAGGTGATAAGGGGGGGGGGGGGGTTACCTTGGTTGCTGATTGGCTAATGGTTACACAAGACAAAACATCGTTATGACATCATAAAGTGGCCAAAATCTGATCAGCTCATTTTCAGACAGGCTTTTATAGAAATGAGAAAAAGAGAAAGAATCTTTGTTCCTGAAACTTTCAGAGTCTCTTCACACAGAGTTGATGTAGAAGAGACAAGAAGAAGTGGATTTTGCATAATAGGTGACCTTTAAATAACACAACTTTGGTTTAAGCTTGTCTATTTGTTCTTTTCTTACTAGAAGGTGATTAAGTGTGGAATTTCCACCACAGAAGGAAGGAGGAGGTCAGGCAGGGAGAAAAGGAGATAAAAGAAGGACTTACTCTGAGGACATGAAGGAGGACAGCGGCCCGACTTCCTTCGCTTTCTGCAGAGCGTGTTTCTGATTAAACGCCGCCTCCGCCTCCTCTTCATCCTGATCAAAAAGAGGACAAAAGTGTGTTATGGCAATTATCAGAATCAGAATCAGGTTTATTAACAGGTAGGTCGACGCGCACGAGGAATTTAATCTGGTGTTGTGGTGCACATTTTAAATTATGGAGAGCAGTATCAATAAAGAGTATCGATGAATACTGGTATTGATAAAACCCTAAGTGGGACTATTTGATTTTATTCATCCTTGATCCACACGGTTCCGTCGCGTTGAAGCTTGCCGGTGGGCGTGTCTGAAGCTCGACCAACAACCAATCACAGTAATCTCCCGCCCCGGATACACAAGCACGCGGTTTGATTGGCTAGTGCTTGTACTGGCATATGATTTGATTGGCTGGCGCTTCCGTCGACGCTTGAAAAGCTGAAATGTACTCAACTTTCGAAGCGAGCAACGGAGGCAAAGCGACGGAACCACAATGCAGTTCGGCAAAGCGAGACGTCACCCCATTCAAAGTGAATGGGCAGCGTCTGCGTTTGCGTAGACAGCAGCTGATTTTAAGTTGCTACGACAAGTGACTGAACATCTGTGAGTTTAAATAATGAAACAGAATCATCATGGAGACGAGAGCCAGGGCTGGACACGCTGGAGTGGGTTCACCAACAGAATCAGAGCACTTTGTATTACCTTGGTGAGTTCTTGTGCGTTGGCGAGGTTATCCACAGCGATGGCCAAGAACACATTCAGCAGAGTGTCTGTTCACACGTTCAGGACTCAGCAAAGTGCAACCAGAGAACCCTTGAAATACAGACTGACTCAACACCACTGACACTCCTTTAGAGCAGGGGTTCCCAACCTTTTTTCCCTAGAGCCCCCCCAAATGACTCCTGTTGGAAGTTGCGCCACACACACACACAAGGGGGGGGGGGGGCAACAGCGGTAATTAAAGTTTAAAAGTCTCAAAATGCAACAACTACTGTCACAAACTGGATGAATGTGAAGTATGTTGTTAAAGGAGGATGAAAGCGTAATCAAGGAGCACTATTGATGGTTATTGGACTCAGGATTCATTCATTTGGATTCCCGCTGAATGAAGAAATTAAAGGACGGCGGAAGTGGAAACAATTCACAAAGGGATTAAACTGTTTAAAACACATGCTCAAAGTAAGCCGGATTTTGCCGATGTGTTTATGTGGATTCAAAAGTCCGATCTGATCGGAGCGACTGTGACAAATAATCGGCATGGACAATGACTATGTTCTAAAAATGCGCTTATCCAGAAAAGCCCGGTTTGGACACTTTACGGGCAGAAGAAACATTTCTATAGAAAGAATTATACATGTCTGTCTTTTTATGTCTTTAATACTAACTTGAATTTTTATTTTAATTAATTAATTTAGAGACAAGGCTTTTAGTGACAATCATGTATTGCTTTACAATTATATGTAAAAAATTAAAATAAGTCTGAATATGATATTTGGCCTCAAATCATCTGAGGCCTGGCGCCCCCCCTGCGATCTTTGGCACCCAAAGCGCCCCCCAGGTTGGGAACCACTGCTCTCGAGAGGAACGATAAGTTCAAATACTAACCCCCTGTATGAAGAGAAATGTCTATTCCACTTTTACAAAAAGCCTTTCCAGCTCACTTTTTCACACAATTCATTTTAAATCTTCATCTTAAAGCTATATATCAGGCATGGATTAAATCTGCAGATGCTACGGGTTAAGATCAGAACAAACTTCTCTGTGGATGTGAGATCATTAAAGTCTAAATGTGGCTGGCAACACACTAAGTTAAACTGTTTTTTAGCCATCTGCTGGAAATGCCTTTATAACTCAATAATGTGATTGAAGGATACAGTTTCCAAACAGTGTGAGCACGATGAAGTAGATGGAGGACCACATGCCGGACTTCACTCCTCCCTGAGAGCGAATCCCGTTATACATCACCTCGTTCCAGTCCTCTCCAGTGAGGATCTGAACGCACGCACGCGCACACACACACACACACACACACACACACACACACACACACACACACACACACACACACACACACACACACACACACACACACACACACATACACACACACACACACACACACACACATTACAAGAGAGACCTACATAAAATAGCCTGTTTTGAATGTTATATTTAACATGCAAGTTGGTCACCAAGAAGGGACAAGAGAAAAATACAATTTCAATCGGGGACTCGAGGGCTATTTTATATAATAAATATTGTTTTGAAACCACTTTTTCTACAACTGTACTTACATTTTGTTTTTAAGACATGGATATTTAACAGAAAATGTCCTCCAATCCTGGACATCATTAATCACTGTCATTAAAATGTGTTAATTACAGAGCAAAACATCTTCAGGTGTTTTTAACTTCCACACCTGAAAGACGGTCATGATGGCGGCAGGAAACGTGTCAAAGTTGGTCGGGGTGTAGTCCTCGAAGATGAACCTGCGAGGAAACACACACACACACACACACACACACACACACACACACACACACACACACATTGGCAAAAGATGCTACCTTACAGTACATCGAGAGGTAATATCATGGTAGTATGGTAGTACAGTATGACTAACATCAGTTTTATTTATCAGATGTGTGTGTGTGTGTGTGTGTGTGTGTGTGTGTGTGTGTGTGTGTGATCAGATGTGTGTGTTTTTTTAAATATAAGATGTGTGTGTGTTATTAGATGTGTGCGTGTGTGTTTCTATATCTGAAGTGTGTGTGTGTGTGTGTGTGTGTGTGTGTGTGTGTGTGTGTGTGTGTGTGTGTGTGTGTGTGTGTGTGTGTGTGTGTGTGTGTGTGCGTGTGATCAGATGTGTGTGTTTTTTTTTATATAAGATGTGTGTGTGTTATTAGATGTGTGCGTGTGTGTTTCTATATCTGAAGTGTGTGTGTGTGTCAGTGCCGACGGTCTGTGTGAACGCCGCTCTGCAGTTTAATGCAGGGCCGTAGCTACATTTTTAACGGGCCTAAGAAGATATTCAAAATGATTAACTTTGAATTAATGAACTGCTTGTTTCGTTGCTGGAGAAGCTTTTGGACATAGTGTAGGTTTGTTTCTACAAGTACAGTTTTAGGGACACAAAAGTTAGGGGGGCAGCTGGGGGGGCAAGGCTCTACAGTGGGGGGGCAGCTGGGAGGGCAAGGCTCTACAGTGGGGGGGGGGCAGCTGCCCTTGATGTGTGTGTGTTTTTTAATATAAGATGTGTGTGTGTGTGTGTGTGTGTGTGTGTGTGTGTGTGTGTGTGTGTGTGTGTGTTACAGTTTTGATTTTTAGAGAGGAATCAATCCCCTCCCTTCCTTTTCCTCCCTGTGCTCTATGATGTATTCCTGAGGCCAGTTCACACACGTCTGATTGAAATGACAGCTGGTGGGAAACAGACGTCCACTCAGGGGACACAAAACATCAAAAGCTGCGACAAAGAAATCTTCACTGATATCCTGCAGACTCTAAGATATTCAATTCCCCCCTAACTGTGTGCATTCAATAAAGAGGACTCTACTAATCCATGGAGTCCACTTAAGCCTTGTGTGTGTGTGTGTGTGTGTGTGTGTGTGTGTGTGTGTGTGTGTGTGTGTGTGTGTGTGTGTGTGTGTGTGTGTGTGTGTGTGTGTGTGTGTGTGTGTGTGTGTGTGTGTGTGTGTGTCTGTGTGTGTGTGTGTGTGTGTGTGTGTGTGTGTGTGTGTGTGTGTGTGTGTGTGTGTGTGTGTTCACAGAATCCCAAGGACATGAGAGATTGATTGTCTGATTGATTAGATTTGTCTCCCTGCCTCTCGGTGGTTCCTCTCGTTGCTTAATGGGCTCATACGGAGCGATGTGCAGACATATGAGCGTTAGTTATTCAGATGGACTTGTTAGACTCAGTGTTACAGTACCTGCCGCCGAAGAGCTGCATGCCAAGCAGGGCGAAGACGAGGATGAAGAGGAAGAGGAGGAAGATGAGGGAGATGATGGACTTCATGGAGGCCATCAGAGAGACCACCAGGTTTCTCAGAGACGCCCAGTACCTTCACGGTCACAGAATAACAAGATGTGAAAATGTGGTATATGTATATTTTGCTCGAACTTTTTTTGGACACATTTTTCAAATTAGGAAACTGAACTGTTGCAAGTGTTTGAATTGGATTTTAATTGGAGGATGAAACCCTCTTTAATGGTCACACATGCAGAGCACACAGCACACAGTGACATTTGGCCTCTGCATTTAACCCATCCTAGAACCAGGAGTCTAGTACTAGGAGCAGTGGGCAGCTATTGTACAGCGCCCGGGGAGCAATGGGAGTGAGGGGGGAGGGGGGTGTCAACTACTGTCACAAACTGGATGAATGTGAAGTATTTTGTTAAAGGAGGACGAAAGCGTAATCAAGGAGCACTATTGGAGTGACTTTGATGGTTATTGGACTCAGGATTAATTCATTTGGATTCCCGCTGTGTGAAGAAATTAAAGGACGGCGGAAGTGGAAACAATTCACAAAGGGATTAAACTGTTTAAAACACATGCTCAAAGTAAGATGGATTTTGCCGATGTGTTTATGTGGATTCAAAAGTCGTAAATAATCTACAAAATGGAGGAGACCGATCTGATCGGAGCGACTGTGACAAATAATCCAACTGAAACCGGCATGGACAATGACTATGTTTTAAACATGCGCTTATCCAGACAAACCCGGTTTGGACACTTTACGGGCAGAAGAAACATTTCTGTCTTTTTATGCCTTTAATACTAACTTGAATTTGTATTCAAATTAATTAATCAATTATTTTTTATATTTTATTGTAACGTATAGACAAGGCTTTTAGTGACAATCATGTATTGCGTTACAATTACATGTAAAAAAAAAATCTAAATATGATATTTGGCCTCAAATCATCTGGGGCCTGGCGCCCCCCCCCTGCAATCTTTGGCGCCCCCCCAAGAGGGGCGCACCCCCCAGGTTGGGAACCACTGGATTAGAGGATTGTTTAATTACAAATAATTGGCTGCTAGTTTATTTACTTTGATGTGTTTTCCTCCTTTTAGAATGCTGATACTTATTTCTAGCTCAATTATATATGATTGTATTAATGTGTACTCTTCCATTTAACAAGTTATACATATTTCACTTTTTATCTGAACTGTCCCTTTGCTGTATTAACACTACATTTGTATTATTATTTTTAAGCGGATTAAATATACAACTTTGCTGCATGTAATTTAAATATATACAGGGCATGTATTTCGATTTTAAGCCTATAGTTTTTTGGGGGGATTTCATTATGACTTTTTCTTGTTTTAGGGTGCATGCTGCACGTGTCTATACTTAAAAAATACATATTTTAAAATTATTTTAATGTAAAAAGAATCCCCGAAAAAAAGACTGAAATACTCCACACTGTAGATACTATAAAGAGGTTTCTTCAGATGGAAACTGTTGGGAAATACTAAATGTCCTCTTCCAATATCAGAGTCCACATGCTAACAAAGGTATCAACTGTAGCTGTGAACATGACAGGATGTGTGATTACCTAGAAGAGCACCAGGACTGTTTGAGGCAGATGATAGCTATGTGATTAACATGATGATTCAGCCTCTATGGAGAGAGACATCAAGCATGCTCATTTCTGACGTGGAGCTCATCTGAAGTAAACATTGAATACTGCTTTCTATTCCTCCATCTTGTGACTGTGTAACTCCCTCTCTTGGATATCAGCATGTGAAGGACACTGTTCAGGAACTAGTTGATGCTCTGTATGTGACGACTACTTCCATTCTGGAGAGGATCACAGATACATGGATCCTGAGGTCGGAAACCAGGGATTATTAACATCTTTAAGTATTCAGGAAAAGTCAGAATTTTGAGAAAAAGTCAGAATTTTGAAATCTTGAGAAAAAAGTCAGAATTTTTAGATTTTTCCAGAGTTTTCCAGATTTTTTTTTGAGTTTCTAAGAAAAAAGCCAACATTTCGAGAAAGTCCAGAGTCCACATGATAACAAAGGTATATTTTTGAGAATTTTGAGAAAAAGTTAGAATTTTGAGGAAAAAGTCAGAATGTTTAGATTTTGAGAAAAAGTCAACATTTTTAGAATTTTGTGAAAAAGTCAATTTTTTTTAGAAAAAGTCAGAATTTTGATGAAAAAGTCAGAATTTTGAGGAAAAAGTTAGAATTTTGAGAAAAAGTCAGTTTTGAGGAAAAAGTCAGAATGTTTAGATTTTGAGAAAAAGTCAACATTTTTAGAATTTTGTGAAAAAGTCAGAATTTTGATGAAAAATTCAGAATTTTGAGAAAAAAGTCAGAATTTTTTTATTTTTAGGAAAAAGTCAGGATTTTGAGTTTCTGAGAAAAAAGCCAACATTTTGAGAATGTCCAGAATCCACATGATAACAAAGGTATATTTTTGAGAATTTCAGAAAAAGTCAGAATTTTGAGGAAAAAGTCAGAATGTTTAGATTTTGAGAAAAAAGTCAGAATTTTTAGATTTTTCCAGAGTTTTCCAGATTTTTTTTTGAGTTTCTAAGAAAAAAGCCAACATTTCGAGAAAGTCCAGAGTCCACATGATAACAAAGGTATATTTTTGAGAATTTTGAGAAAAAGTTAGAATTTTGAGGAAAAAGTCAGAATGTTTAGATTTTGAGAAAAAGTCAACATTTTTAGAATTTTGTGAAAAAGTCAATTTTTTTAGAAAAAGTCAGAATTTTGATGAAAAAGTCAGAATTTTGAGGAAAAAGTTAGAATTTTGAGAAAAAGTCAGTTTTGAGGAAAAAGTCAGAATGTTTAGATTTTGAGAAAAAGTCAACATTTTTAGAATTTTGTGAAAAAGTCAGAATTTTGATGAAAAATTCAGAATTTTGAGAAAAAAGTCAGAATTTTTTTATTTTTAGGAAAAAGTCAGGATTTTGAGTTTCTGAGAAAAAAGCCAACATTTTGAGAATGTCCAGAATCCACATGATAACAAAGGTATATTTTTGAGAATTTCAGAAAAAGTCAGAATTTTATGAAAAAGTAAATTTGTTTAGAAAAAGTAAATTTTAAAAAAAAGTCAGAATTTTGATGAAAAATTCAGAATTTTGAGGAAAACATGTGATGTGATGACTACTTCCATTCTGGAGAGGATCACAGATACATGGATCCTGAGTTTGAAGCTCAAGCCGGGGACCAGTGAGATCTTTCTAACACAAACAGGACGTCTGCAGGACTCACTTTGTGATTTTGAAGATCCGCAGCAGACGGAGAGCTCTCAGGACGCTGATCCCAAACGAGGTGCCGGGTCTGAAGAAACCCCACAGCACCTCGAAGATACTGCCCACGATCACCTGCAGAATATAATATATATGTTGGAGTTTTGTAGAATGAATACAAATATAAAAATATATATACAAAGGGTTGATGCTGCATAATTTCATCAAACAAAATGGTTCGTGAAGAAGATGTAACAAACACAGATACAAAGGGACGAAGATGCATAATTTAAGGACACAAGCAGATGGTTTTTTGTGGAATAAATAATAAATGTAGATAAGGAGACGGAGAACTGACACTGCAGTCGAAGCGGTTGAAGGACGAGTGGAAGTAAAGACGAGGACCCAAGCTGTACATCTTCAGAAACATCTCCGTGAGGAACAGAGCGAGGAACAGGAACTCTGCATAGTCTGGAACAACAACAATACATAACGTGTTAGACTGTGACACGTCAATACTGTGGAAAATCCCCACAGGAGCAATTTGGGTGCATGCTGACTGCAGTGGGGTTTGAACCTGTGACCCCCTGCTCCCAACACCAACGCTCTAGTCCACTGCGCCACAGCCTCCCCAACAATAAGAATGCCTATTCTACACTTACAAAGACATCTATACGAGGAAGCGAGACATGTTCAAGCCATTTAAATCATTAAGTGGTGGATAGAGCTGAATTAATCTGAATTTAACTCCCCAAATATTGGACTTTAAAATAATGGACAGTAATTCTAAACACCAAGTTGCCTCGTTATTTTGTATCTCTCGGACATTTCTTAAGTATATTGTGCACAAAAAACATGTAAAACTGGCATTTATTTTTCGATTTTTTAAACAAACAACAAAATAAGACAACTTGCCTATTCCTACTTATTTTATTTAACATGTAAATATCTTATATAATATTATAAGAAATATAACAGGCAGCTTTTTGTTTTGATAACTGGAACTCATTAAGGAATTTTCTTTGAGTAGCATTTTTTTGCATATAAAAATGCTAATTAAAGTGGACCTATCATGCTATATTTGAAACATATATTGTAGGGCCATACCTATATAAAACATGTCTGTGAAGTCTTTTTTTCAAAATACCAAACAGATCCTGCATTTTAGCCATGCCTCATTTCGCTCTATTTGCTCTTTTCCAGCCCTGTTTTAGCAAGGGCTGATTCTGTGGCTACAGCGCCACCTACAGGCCTGGCATATGTACTACAGCGTCTCCAGCGCTTTCCAGCGGTCTCTCATTCCCCTGATAGGTGGAGAGTTGCCCATATAGGCGGAGCACCCCTTTTCTGACGTCAGAACAATTCAAATAATAATCAGCTCCGTTTTTAAAGATTTGGGTACGGAGGAAAAGAGAGAGGGTTGTGTTTTCTGACACTTGGTGATTTCCCTGACACACCAGGGACACATGTTCATGTATAAAAGACGTACACAAGTGCATTTTGCATGATAGGTCCCCTTTAAGGTTTAGGTTATTGCGATAGTTATCATCTCTTTATACAACTTAAAAAAACACTTTCTGAAGACATGCAATCATTTGCCATGTCACACCGACTTGTATCTGAAAGTATAATATTAAAAACGTTTTTATTCTACAAAATACCCTAAAAAAAATCGCAGCAATTTACTTTACGACGCATTTCTTATTTTGTGTAGGAGTTTAACTTCTTGTAATCACTTGGAATTAATTGCGGGTTTACCACAAGGTGAGTACTTTCTATTTCCTGCTTCTTCACACAGACTCTCTCCAGTACAGGTTAGCAGTGTTAGCATGCTAATGTAAACACAGACCATATTACGTCCAAAAACACGTCACATTGTTTCTGACAGCGACGTTTCTGATTGGCCCGTGGGTGTAAAGCCCGCCCACATTTGAGTAATGACGTCATATCGGCAGCAAATCTGGATCAGCTCCGATGTTCCCCCGTTTTTAGAGATGTGGGTACGGAGGAAAAGAGAGAGGGTTTATTTCCTGACACTTTGTGAGTCTCCTGACACACCGGGGACTTACCGGGGACACACCGGGGACACACCGGGGACACACCGGGGACTTACCGGGGACACACCGGGGACACACCGGGGACACACCGGGGACTTACCGGGGACACACCGGGGACACACCGGGGACACACCGGGGACTTACCGGGGACACACCTGGGACACACCGGGGACTTACCGGGGACACACCGGGGACACACCGGGGACTTACCGGGGACACACCGGGGACACACCGGGGACTTACCGGGGACACACCGGGGACACACCGGGGACTTACCGGGGACACACCGGGGACTTACCGGGGACACACCGGGGACACACCTGGGACTTACCGGGGACACACCGGGGACTTACCGGGGACACACCGGGGACTTACCGGGGACACACCGGGGACACACCTGGGACTTACCGGGGACACACCGGGGACTTACCGGGGACACACCGGGTACACACCGGGGACTTACCGGGGACACACCGGGGACACACTGGGGACACATCGGGGACACACCGGGGACACATCGGGGACACACCGGGGACACACCGGGGACACACTGGGGACACACCGGGGACACACCGGGGACACACCGGGGACACACCGGGGACACATGGTGATGTAGAAAAGACATTAAAAAGTGCATTTTGCCTGATAGGAGACCTTGAACTCCCTCAGTGTGACTCACAGAGGAAGGTGGAGAGCCACAGCGGCTGGTTGTGATGAACGATGGCGACACAGATAGTGTTCAGAGCCACGAGACCCAGCACCGTCCAGTAGAAGGTTTGAGTCTTCACCACGCGGCGGATGGAGATTCGCAGCAGACGCTCTTTACGCCGGAAAAATGCAGTCGGACCTCGTTTAGCGCTCCGGATACTCGCTCTGTTGATCGGGACGCCTGCGGGACACAGAGAGGGGGAGGTAGTTTAGTTTATAGTGTCGTCGACCCCACTGTCACAAACAACAGGGAATGGGCAGCTTTTAATTGAATACTGACGAATGTAAACCTCATAATATGATCATTTTGAGTTGAGACTATGTACCGTGAAACTGCCTTGAGTTGAACCAAAGGCGCTGGAAATGTTATTCAATGTTGAAATGTATGTAAGACGTGTCTTTGTAAGAAGGGTAGTGTTTTTGTAATGTTTTATTTGTGTTTGTTTCTGCACCTGAACCTCAGTGTAATTTGATCTTGAGAAGTGTTTGGAACTGTAGACATGCGTTTTATTGGATCAAATGTGGCAGCTTTAGCAAACATTACTAATTTCCAGCTGTTGTCCCCGGACAGATGATTATAGACACCTTTTTAAAACCACAATACATCAACAGCATTAGTTATAAAGAAAGGATGAAAGACAAGTAGATGGAGGCGAAAGGATGAAAGAGAACAATACAATGCAAACAACACAGGTTACTACATACCTGTCACATATAGCTCATCACAATCACAGTGTGTGCAGGTCAGTGGCGGCGCTAGGGGGTGGCTACTTGGGCTCAAGCCCCCCGGATGTTTTCTGAAAAGCCCCGAATGTTTGTCTCGCGGGTAATGTGCAGTACCGGAGTCCAACAGAGAGGGAGCAGCTGCGGGGACACTAGCGTGCGTACTACCCCCGCTGCGAGGCTCTGGCGAGTCCACAGTCCACGCTAGCACCCCCCCCCCCCCCCCCCGCCCCCGCTCAACAACTTCAAAATTGTGGCCCGGATCTACAATCCTAAATCCGCCACTGGTGCAGCAACAGAGTGCCAAAGTGCTGTACATCAATAAATATAGAAATAGCAGCATAAATACATTTAGACAAAACCGATAGGACAAAAAACAAATGTAAAACGAGACAGTAAAACCTTACTTATAGCCACACACTGAAAATCTCTCATACAAGTTGTAAAAACACGATGAATGACTTTTTGAAACTCCAAAACTGTTTTCAACACAGTCTCCACATTTGAGAGTAGGGTAAAGACTCCTCTCAGGGCTGGATCAGGCTTACCTAGTTATACCGCTTAAGACTTTCAGGGGGCTTTCATCTTTCCCCCTCTCGTCTTTTACTCCTCCTTCTCCTTCTGTATGATCTCATGTCCAATAAATGCGTCTTACTAACTCTGCATCAGAGTTTCTGTGTCTTTCTAGATCAGAAGTCAGATTTTCGAGATCCTCCAGGATCATCGATCACGCTTATTGTACGTCGCGTTGGATAAAACCGTTAGCTAAATGTAATGTAATTATAATTGTTATGATTTGGAGTGTCATCATATATCTAACATTTACTGCATTTCTTGAGAGAGGGATCACTTCCTGGCTTTTACTTTAGGCTTTAGACTACATGTGTCAAACTCAAGGCCCGGGGGCCAAATCCATGACACTTGGTGGGTTTAATTTCGGCCCGCAGGATAATTTCTAATTCCTATTAGATCTGGCGCTCCGGTATATTGCACGCACACCTTCCCTCCATCCTGAGGGTCTCCTCAGCTCAGAGCCTGAGCCCAAACATTGATGACCTTGCACCCAAGATGAGATGCCAAGTATCTGAGCTAGCATCACAGAGCAGCACACTGAGTTCAATGGATGCTTCCTTCTGCACTTTCTCTCACGACAACAGGGCATGTTTGGTTTTCTCTTAGAGGGGAATCGTTTTGTTGAAGCTGTTGTTGGCCTGTGGAGAAATGTGATCATAAGAAATGACTCTGGAAAAGCTGCAGATAGAGCCATAAGAAATGAATGCAACTGATTATTTAATGTTGTTTTTATAGGCAATCATTGAAGCTTTGTTAGTTCCAGGTTTAATATGTGCAATAAGTTCATTTCAATAAGTTCTGCAATAAACATTGAACCAGTCCGGCCCTCCACTAGCACCCATTTTTTGATTTTGGCCCACTGTGTATTTGAGTTTGACCCCCCTGCTTTACACCCTCTTACTTAACGATCCAGACTCACCCAAAGAGGAGACGTCTCCGTATTGTTCCTCCCCCGTTTGCCCTCGATGCCCGCCATCCATCCCCCTCCTTTTGATGGTGGTGGCTCTCTTCAGCACTGCAGACAACAACAACAACAGGTCAACATCAACAAGAGGAAGACACTCAAAAACACTCTGAGAAGAAACAGGGAACGCATGCGAGGGTAGTGACACAAAGCAGACTTTTGGGCAGCGGGACCACTAATATTTAGCTTTTATCATAGACATTTTGTGACTTTTTGCAGGTAGTTTGTCAACGGATTACAAGCAATTTAGACACCAGGGACTGTAGGTAATATCTCTGAGTACAGCACAGAATTGTTTACAGATCGTTTGGCAACTTTAATCACAAGTTTTTACTCTCGCTCTACAAGAAAAGGAGATTAAATATGTAGAAAACACTGAATAAAGCTTGTTCAGTGGACACAGGTCGGACGGAGCTAAAGGCTAATGGTTCGTCAGTTTGTTTCTATTATTTCGATAATAAAAAAATACTGCTAAAACAACCAAGAGTAAAAGTAGAAGTACTCAGATCTTGTACTTGTACTTAATATTAAACTTTTATCTTAAGATATGTTGTGACTTTTTGCAGGTAGTTTGTCAATATTCAAACAGATTACAAGCTATTTAGACACTGAGGGCAGTAGGTCATATCTCTAGAGCACAGATTTACTCTTCTGTGAGGCGGTAATTGTTTACAGATCGCAACTTGAGACACGAGTTTTTCTTCCTCTACAAAAACAATGCGATTAAATAATATGTGGAAAACACTAATAAAGCCGTTTCAGTGGACACAGGTCGGAGGGAGCTAAAGGTGAACCTACGATTCTGATTTCTGAATCAAACCATTAGGATTACATGTTGGCTCTATACCTGCATACAAGTGACAAATACTTAGGTGTAAGTGTTGCAAACTGATGGAAACTAGAGGGGTTTAATACTAAAATAATATAATAATAACTTTTCTCCAATGACCTTTCCCCTCTCTGTCTGTGTCTGTGTATTCTCTTGTTCCGATTAACCCAGCCAAATCTTTGTTCTTGTTTTGTATCTATATCTACGCCGGGATCCGGAGTCGAGGCTGATCCTCTTGCTGTAGTCCTGTGTCTTGGATCCTCTGTCCTGAGTTCTGGATTAAGTCGTGGACTTCGGGTCGTGGCTGAACCTGTCTCTGCGGTCCTGCCTTGGGTCTCGTCATGCTGCTTCCCTGATGGCTTCCACAGGATTGTAGCTGACATCCTCGTGGATTCATCTTCTTATTACAGACTCATGCATTTCCTAACATTCGGTCTATATGCTGTAAAATGTATTATCTCTTGGATTTACACACGGCATCTATTGCACGTCTGTCCGTCCAGGGGAGAGGGATCCCTCCTCTGTTGCTCTCCCTGAGGTTTCTCCATGTTCCCTTTAAACTGTGGGTTTTCTCTGGAAGTTGTTCCTTGTACGATGTGAGGGTCTAAGGACAGAGGGTCTAAGGACAGAGGGTCTAAGGACAGAGGGTCTAAGGACAGAGGGTCTAAGGATAGAGGGTCTAAGGACAGAGGGTCTGAGGACAGAGGGTCTAAGGACAGAGGGTCTAAGGACAGAGGGTCTAAGGACAGAGGGTCTAAGGACAGAGGGTCTAAGGACAGAGGGTCTGAGGACAGAGGGTCTAAGGACAAAGGGTCTAAGGACAGATGGTCTGAGGACAGAGGGTCTGAGGACAGAGGGTCTAAGGACAGAGGGTCTAAGGACAGAGGGTCTGAGGACAGAGGGTCTAAGGACAGAGGGTCTAAGGACAGAGGGTCTAAGGACAGAGGGTCTAAGGACAGAGGGTCTAAGGACAGAGGGTCTGAGGACAGAGGGTGTCGTTTTTCTCATACTGATATTCTGAACAGTCTGTGTTGTTGTATTTGCTGTAAAGTGTCTCTACTGTAGGCTATTTTTATTTTATGTTCAGCACTTTGGCTCCACCAAAAATCTTTATAAATGTGCTATATAAATAAAACTTGATTTGATTTGATTTGAAAATCCTCTCCTGTTGCTCACAGATTCTGCTTTCACTTGCAGACATGTGTTTACAGAGATAAGCAGTGTGTTCAAATGGCCCAATAGACTGCACAGTGCATGACCACCCTCACATGTCTCAGTGAGGCAGACTCATGATGCAATGCAGAGAGTTTAATCTCTACGAGGATCATCATGTAATCTGAGAGGGAGAGTTGGGCTCATTAACGCTGCGCTGCGATGAGATAAGAATGATCCCTAATGTGTGTGTAATGATCCGAACAGCTGCAAAACCCTTTTCATGATTTCATCAAACCATGCTCCGAGGCGACGTGGCGCTGCATGCATTTCTGTTTCTGAGCCGTGCCGTGCACACATGCTGCGAGTGTGTGTGTGTGTGTGTGTGTGTGTGTGTGTGTGTGTGTGTGTGTGTGTGTGTGTGTGTGTGTGTGTGTGTGTGTGTGTGTGTGTGTGTGTGAGAAGCGTGTGTGTTGTGTTTTCTCCCTGATGATTGTATTCATTCTCTCCTCCTCACACCTTCCTGCTACCTGTGTGATTTCTGAATCTACTTGCAGTCGATATTTGCTCGGGGACTTTGTTTTTAATAAGCTGTTGATCAAACACACACACACACACACACACACACACACACACACACACACACACACACAGCTGCCTTGTCAGACCAATAGTTGCTAAGGAAACCGCAGTGTGCCACCTTTTTATGTTTTTTAATTAAAGCTCTCAGAGTTTATTTATTTAAAATCACAACAGCTGGTCCTATCAGCTGTCAGTGTTTAAAGTCAAAGTGTAATTGTTATACAAGTGACAGAAACAAACCTGTGTGTGTGTGTGCGTGCGTGTGTGTGTGTGTGTGTGTGTGTGGGTGTGTGTGTGTGTGTGTGTGTGTGTGGGTGTGTGTGTGTGTGTGTGTGTGTGTGTGTGTGTGTGTGTGATGATATACACCTGAACATCAGCAGGAGAGGACTCTTTAAAGTAGAGACACTACATACTGATATACACCTGAACATCAGCAGGAGAGGACTCTTTAAAGTAGAGACACTACATGCTGATATACACCTGAACATCAGCAGGAGAGGACTCTTTAAAGTAGAGACACTACATACTGATATACACCTGAACATCAGCAGGAGAGGACTCTTTAAAGTAGAGACACTACATACTGATATACACCTGAACATCAGCAGGAGAGGACTCTTTAAAGTAGAGACACTACATACTGATATACACCTGAACATCAGCAGGAGAGGACTCTTTAAAGTAGAGACACTACATACTGATATACACCTGAACATCAGCAGGAGAGGACTCTTTAAAGTAGAGACACTACATACTGATATACACCTGAACATCAGCAGGAGAGGACTCTTTAAAGTAGAGACACTACATACTGATATACACCTGAACATCAGCAGGAGAGGACTCTTTAAAGTAGAGACACTACATACTGATATACACCTGAACATCAGCAGAGGAGGACTCTTTAAAGTAGAGACACTACATACTGATATACACCTGAACATCAGCAAGAGAGGACTCTTTAAAGTAGAGACACTACATACTGATATACACCTGAACATCAGCAGGAGAGGACTCTTTAAAGTAGAGACACTACATACTGATATACACCTGAACATCAGCAGAGGAGGACTCTTTAAAGTAGAGACACTACATACTGATATACACCTGAACATCAGCAGGAGAGGACTCTTTAAAGTAGAGACACTACATACTGATATACACCTGAACATCAGCAGGAGAGGACTCTTTAAAGTAGAGACACTACATACTGATATACACCTGAACATCAGCAGGAGAGGACTCTTTAAAGTAGAGACTCTACATACTGATATACACCTGAACATCAGCAGAGGAGGACTCTTTAAAGTAGAGACACTACATACTGATATACACCTGAACATCAGCAGGAGAGGACTCTTTAAAGTAGAGACACTACATACTGATATACACCTGAACATCAGCAGGAGAGGACTCTTTAAAGTAGAGACACTACATACTGATATACACCTGAACATCAGCAGGAGAGGACTCTTTAAAGTAGAGACACTACATACTGATATACACCTGAAACAGTGTGTGTGATAGTGTGTGTGATGCAGGTTGCAGGGGGCCGAGCAGAGGACGGTTCTCACCATAGACTCCGCCTGTACTCCAATCAGGGAGGCTCCTGAGAGCTGCCAATCAATCAACATTTAATAAATGTGTTTCTCGTAAACCGGGGACTTTAATCCTCGTAATTGTCTTTTTTTATTGCAAATATATGACTTTATAATCTAAGAATATGCAAATAATTTCTCTCAAACAAAAAACCACAGCTTCTCTGATAGAACGCCAGTATCAAACTGGTCCAGCTGCAGAGACACAATGTGAAGCCTTGTGAGCACAGCAGAAATGTGCATTATGAAACCAGGAAACAGAGATCTCTGCAGACTCACCATCGAGGGCAGAAGGTCCTGAATTCTTATTCTCCTCCGCCAGCATCACTTCCTCTGCAGAGAAGTGAAGGGAATCAGAAATGAGCATCAGAAACGGAAAAGGGAAGTGTGTGTTTGTGTGTTAAAGTTTGATCACTGCTCTACATGGGAGTTACAGAAACCATGATCAGTGCTGCCGTCATCTTCAGTTACGATGCTGTCGCCGTATTGTATTGCATCGTGTCGTACCGTGTATTACCGTGTCGTACCATACCGTACAATATCATACAGCACCGTAACTTACAGTACCGTATATTACTGTACCGTACTGTATGGTAAGGTAGCGTATCGTGTCGTAACGTATCATGTCGTTACGTATGGTGTCGTTACGTATTTTATCGTATCGTAGAATATTGTAGAATATCGTATCGTAGAATATTGTATCGTAGAATATCGTATCGTAGAATATTGTATCGTAGAATATCGTATCGTAGAATATTGTATCGTAGAATATCATATCGTAGAATATCGTATTGTAGAATATCGTATCGTATCGTAAAACATCGTTCCTTATCATGTCGTATCGTGTCGTAACGTATCGTGTCGTAACGTATCGTGTCGTAACGTATCGTGTCGTTACGTATGGTGTCGTTACGTATCTTATCGTATCGTAGAATATTGTATCGTAGAATATTGTATCGTAGAATATCGTATCGTATAGTATCGTAAAGCATCGTTCCTTATCATGTCGTAACGTATGGTGTCGTTACGTAGCTTATCGTAGAATATCGTATCGTAGAATAACGTATCGTAGAATATCGTATCGTAGAATATTGTATCGTAGAATATAGTATCGTAGAATATCGTATCGTATAGTATTGTAAAGCATCGTTCCTTATCATGTCGTAACGTATGGTGTCGTTACGTAGCTTATCGTATCGTAGAATATCGTATCGTAGAATAACGTATCGTAGAATATCGTATCGTAGAATAACGTATCGTAGAATATCGTATCGTAGAATATAGTATCGTAGAATATCGTATCGTAGAATATTGTATCGTAGAATATAGTATCGTAGAATATCGTATCGTATAGTA